AGCCCAAGGAGAAGTGGGGGATAGCAGCTGGTGGGAAGGGGCTTGGAGGAGTGTGGGCAGAGCACCTTACAGGTGAGAAATCCACTGGTCTTATGGGGGTGTGAGAAAAGCTATAGCCAATTGTGAGACTTGTTGGGAAGTCACTGTAGGCTCTGGACCATTACTGGCCCACCCTCTCAACCCATGAACTTCTGCTCTGGTCACAGACCTTCTGACTCCTCTACTGCCAAACCCCTCAAGCATTGTCCACAAGTTTAAGCTCCTCTCCCATCACTCACCTGCCCCGCGACATGATTGCAGTATGCCTAGATGAGTAGCAGAATCAAACTGTACAGCACGTGGGAATTCTTGGGGAACCAAGGCTGAAGCCGTGAGAACAGTTAAGATGGCTCCAGGCAGAATGCAGGACAAGACCAAAAATTAAATTGCAGCAGCAGAGCACCCATTTCCTGAACACTAAGTGTCAGGCACTTGGCCAACGATTTATACAGCATCTCATTTGCTCCTGGCGGCAATTCTATGAAGCAGGTTCAATTGTCTTAATTTTGCAGATGAGACAGCAGGATGGTATAAAGTTTCAACCCAGCTGTACCTGCCTCAGAAACATTTGCTCTCCACCATTGGACTGAGAGAATAAAATGGGCGGGGGGGGGGGGGGGAGGCAGCGATGCACTATAGTCTAAGTAACGCCCCCACACAACACACACACACACACACACACACACACACACACACACACTGCAGCTGTGTGAGGGCTGAACGGTGTATATCTTTCTGGGTCATCAGCTCTGGGTAGGCTCTTAATGCGTTTCCACAAAGTGGATAACAATTGCGGGAGACTCAAGCTAACACCCTCTTCCCCGCACCTCCCACAGATCCACAAGGCTTCACTGGCTCCAGGACCAGGTCTCTGTAGCTCAGGCCTAACCGGATGGCTCCAGGTCAAGCCAGGGATGAGGTGGGGTTGGGTGAGGAGCGGAGGCTACCCTAGCCGGGAAGCCCACTGCAGCCGAGCATCTAGTTCGGGAAGCACAGGGAGAGATATCAATACGCAAAATGAAGCAGCCCGAGGCTCTGCTCCACAGAGAACTAGACAGAGGTTTCGGGCATTCTCCCAGGATCGCAGGCCTCTTCCCAGTGGGCTCAGCTGCGCGGACGGCGCCCCCCTCCGGGCTTCCAAGCGCTCTCGCCAGCGCCGCTATTAAACTCGCGGAGACTGGAGCTGAGAAAAGGCGGGCAAAATTCCTTTTGATAAGTTATGAATGGGGAGAAAGTGTTTGTAGTACTCATTGTTAAAACCACGGAGCCGGGGACTTGGCCCGCTCCCGGCCAATCGGAACCCGGAGGCTATTTTGAAATCGCTCGGGTTTTAGCCAATAGGCGTGCAGGAGGCGAAGCCCCGCGCCGGCTCTGGCCAATGAGTGCGGCGTTATGCTAAGAAGCCGGGGGCCGGGCCCCACCGACTGTCAGCGGGTTAAAGATGGAGCCGGCTAGCGAGAGGGCGCCACGAGGTGCGGGGTCGTCCTGATGGGGACGACGGGGGCGACCAACCGCCAGGACCTTTCTCTCGCTAACCTTCCGCGTCCTGCCCCCGGCCTGGTTTGGAAGGGGCGTCCCGCCGCGTGAGTAGCAGGGTCCGAGGTGGAGGGCACCGGCAGAGCGGCCCTACCGGGCGGGACTGTGCAGAGAGGCGCAGCCCGGACCCCGGGCGCCCTCTCCGTGCAGGGGACTCCAGAAGGGCGGGAAGCCGCCCTTGTTCCTTTGCTTCTCTCTGGGCCGCCAGGCAGAGAATTTTTAGGACTGGAACCCAAGTTGGGGGGCTAGGGGCCAGGGAAGGGGGCCTGAGCCGGCAGGGGCGCGCCGTTCGGAATGGGGCCACCCTCCTCTCGGAGCCGCAGACCGAATGAGGCCGTAGGGTCGTCGGGTTGTACCCACTCTGGCTCCGTGCGGGAGTGGGCTTGGGACTGCGGCGGAGCACGGGTCCCTCTCCTTTGTGTGTTTGCCCCCTCCCCCGTCCGCTCCCGCTCCTGGGTTGGAGCTACCCCTCGGTCTGGGGTCTCTCCCGCACCGCAATGTGGAGCGTGCTGGGGAAGGTCCAGGACCTTCTGACGACCTCTAGGACCGCCGCCCTGCCGAAACCCTCCCCGCCTTGAGGTCCAAGACAGGGCCTCTAGCCCCACCCACCCACCCACGGTTGAGCTTCCCGCCCTGGGCTTATTGGGGACTGTGGGGGTCCCTCCTGCTGGCCTCAGGTGCTCTGACGAGGTTGCACTACTGTGCTCTGAGAAGCAGTGCAATGATATTGTCAAAGCATCTGGGACCAGCCTTGGGAAACCCCCCTTCTCCACACTATCAACCCCCTCCCCAGGTTGGGCCCCTTGGGCCTACAGGACCTCCCCTCCCCCCCTGGCCCTGGCCTCGCTCCCTTCTCCATGGAAACTTGAGATCCTGGCCAGGCCTGGGCCTCTAGGGTCAGAGGGCACCCTTCCCCCCAGGCAGAAGCCCCACCCCAGTGGGCCTGCATTCCAGGTCTCAGATCCTCACAGACCACCACCGGGAGAGGCGCTGGCAGGCCTGCCTGACACTCTTTCCCTGTTGCACTACTGTGGGCCGCTGGGAAGCAGTGCAATGATGAAAGGGCATCGGTCAGGCCCAGCCCACCACCCATAGCGCCTGAAGGGAGGGAGTTTTGCTGCCTCAGTCTGCTTGCTAGCAGTGAGGAGTAGGTGTGGAACGGAACTGACCCCTCCATCAGAGGACTAGGTGAGTGCAGAGCTGGGGGATCCTCCCACAAATTCTCCTTCTGGGTTATGGCTGGACAGTAGCAGGGGCAGAGGCCCCAGATTCAGAAAAGCTCTGCTTTGAAGATCTTTCCACACCAACTCCCTGGGTAAGACTGGGGACTTCAGCTTTGGTCAGGTCCTTGTGGAGAAATGGAGACCCACTGTGTTGCCTGGCTCAGACCCAGCTCAACTTTGACCATGCACAGGTGGACTACACCCCGCCCTCCTTGAGGGCTTTGGGAGGGTCAGACTCTGGAGAGAACATTCTCCTGGGTTCTTAGCAGCAGCACTATGTGGGGTGGGTGGGTGGACTTGGGCCATGAAGCCCCTAGGTGATACCCATCAACCATGCCAGCTTGTTCTCTTACAGGGAGGTATGCTGCCCTGAGACTGCAGGAGGGACCAAGAGGTGCCTGGCATGCCCATCCTAACAGCTACAATTAGGGGGACTGCCAAGGAGCCAGGCCCCAGGTGTGCCTGCAAGGTCACCTCCTCCATCAGGACCTACCACAATGCAAAAGGCTTTTGTGTGCCCAGGGACAGTCATTCAAGCCTGCCTCCTTTGAGAGGAGGCCTAGGTTTCCAGATGGGCATTTGGGAGTACCCCTCACCCCTGGATGAGCACATCAAGATGTCAGCTTCACCCCTACCCTGGGGAGAGGGTAGAAGACCGGGCATCCATGGCTGGTGGTGGCCATCCTTATTTCTGTGCAGATTTTGCACCCCCTGGCTGGAGACCCTCATGTAGATGTTTCTGGCCCCTGCTGGGGGATGCTTGTGAACTCAGGGCTTTGCTCAAATGTTCCCTCCCAGGGAAAGCCTTTCTTGGGCTCCACAGCATCCACTATCCCTCCAGCAGAGCCTGCTAGATTGAAATTTCTCATTGTGGCTGAAGTCCTCATCAGACTGGGAGCCCTGAGGGCAGGGACAATGTCCCTTTTTATATCTCAGCAGTGCCTGGCACAGAGGAGGGGACCAATACAACTTTAAAAAAAAAGTACATGAAGTGTGAAGTATTATGAGCATAACACGGTGGGGGGACTAATTAGAAGTCTGCTTGATCCCTCAGAGGTTACTTGTGCAGTATATAAAAAGGCACATACCGTATATTTCAAAGTCTTTAAGTCACACAGCATCAGGAAGTAGAATGAAGATTTGAACCCATGTGTATCATCTGTTTGCACCCCTAGGCTAAAATTTTTTTCCTCCTTGGTTGTTTCCTCCTTGGTTGCTCCATCTCCTATGTCGGGGACAGCAGAACCTAGAGGGTGGTGGTTTGGTAGTGGGAGGTGAAAAATTTCTTTAGATTTCTCAGATACACTCCATGGATCTCAGGTTGATGGGGGTGAAGGGGTTTGGAAGGTGACAGAGAGGAAGCAATCCAGGATGGACCCCCTTATCAGTGTGGCTGCGGTGGATGGTGGTGACATCGCCGACCAAGTAGGATTAGGAGGAGAGAAGCCGGTTTGGGGTTGGGAGGGAAGAAGCTGTATGCCAAACTGGGTGTATGTTCAGCACGAGACGCCCAAGAAACGTCTCCAGCCAAAACCTGGATGTGGTTCTGGAATTCAAGGGAGGTCTAAGCCTGATACGCCGGTTAGAGTTAAGTCAGCTTCGAGCTGGGACCAAGAAGTGGGGTAGGATCGTTCCAGATGGTACCGCGAGGACGGGACCTTCTCAAATGCGTCAGGAGCAGCTGGAGATGCTGAAGAGGCAACTGCGAGTACAGAGTAAACGAGTGGTTATACACGGGAAGAGAAAAGACAGAAGCTGGGGAGGGCTGGGTTTAATGCTGGAGAGTAAATCAGGAGAAGAAGAGTGAAGTCTGAGTAGAGGAGTTAGGGACTGAGTGAAGAAGCCCTTGGGGTGCTGTCTACAGACCTCAAGGAGGGAGGGCGAGCAGGCGGAATGGGGAGGGGGGAGAGCCTTAAAGTTTGAAGAGTACGGCTGCTGACCATGTTCCTTGCGCGGCCACCGCCAGCACCCAGCTCCCAGCTCCCGGATCAAGGTCTGCAACACGCCAGCGGGTTGGGGCCTCCGCGGAGCGCTGCGGCGTTTGCCCCGTCGAAGGTTTCAGAGCGCATGCCCAGAGCGGGGGAGGGGGCATTGTCACGTGCGGCCGCCTCGCGCGGATTGGCCCCTCCGCTAGCCAGCTCCGGGGGTGGGATTGGCTAGGCGGTCGGGGCGGTGGCGGCGGCACGCCGAGAGAGACTGCGTCCGCGCGGCGGCTGTGGGTCAGAGAGCAGGTGCGTCCCCTGCGGTCCCCGCCCCGACGGGCCCCCGCCGCCCACGGCGACCCGATCTCTGCCCCTTGGGACCTGCCCTTTACCCCCAACGGCCGGAGGCGGGCTGGGTGGGGGGTGGGGGCGTCGCCGCGCCTGGAGGCTCGGTGGCCCCGCCCCGACGGCCGCTCCGCCCCCAGGCCGCCGGGGCCGCCTGCAGCCCCTCCGGGATGGAGGTCCTGGACGAGTTCGACAGCGAGTTACCCCAGAGTGTGACCTTCTGCCAGCTCATCTCCGAGGAAGACTTCGAGAGGCAGGCGGCCACCTACACGGAGCGCGCGCTGCGCCGCCTTTTCCGCAGCATCGACCGCAACCCCGCGCTGGCCGAGAGGGTGGTGCGCAAGGGCAAGCTGGCCGAGTACGAGGGGCGCGGGCTCCTCTCCTTCCTCTGGGTGCGAGCCGGCGGGGCTGCAAGGGGGGAGGCGGGGTGGGGACCACGGGGGCGGATGCTCGCACCGCTCCTGCTCCTCTTCAGAGGGTAGGTGACTGGGAGTGGGGTGGGGTGGGAGCCCTCGCGCCTCGCTGAAGCTGCGGGGTGGGGGTTCTTCCTGAAGCCCCGGCTGCCCAGCTTGGGGAGTGCAGCCGGCAGGCGGCTTACCTGTCTGGCCTCCTCCTGCTCTGCCTCTCCCTTTGTCGTAGGCCAAGTTCTTCTGTGCAGTTCAGGGGGAGCTGAATTGTTGCAACAGCATGGGTGCCCTGGAGATGCACCAGCGCCTAGAGCAGCTGAAGAGGGGGATCCACCGCGTGCACCTCTACTCCCAGGGTGAGGTTCAGCCCCTGCCAGACTTCAGTAACCCAGGAAACCTGACTCAGGTTCCCTTATCCCTGGTTCTCTGCTTGGCTCTTTTTTTTTTTTTTTTTAAATTGGTGTTCATTTTTAAAGTATTAGGGAAACGAACATATACAAAACTGGAGACCACAGGGAACACTCAGGGACCAGCCACACTTCAGCTTCAGCAAGTATCCCCATCTTGCCATGCTTGCTTCGGGCTCTGTTCCCCCCTTTTTCTGGAGCGTTTTGGGGGAAATCTCAGACATCATTGTATTCTTGGATCCTTTAAAGTGCTTTTTGATCTGTTAAAAGACATTTTATAATTACAATGTTACCTAGATGTTGACAATTTCTTTTTTTTTTTTTTAAGATTTATTTATTTATGTATTTGATGGAGAGAGCACACACTTGCAGGAGCAGGGGGAGGGGCAGAGGGAGAAGGAAAAGCAGGCTCCCCATGGAGCAGGGAGCCTGATATGGGGCTCCATCCCTGGACCCTGAGATCACTACCCCAGCTGAAGGCAGTTGCTTAACTGACTGAGCCACCCAGGCACCTGACAACAATTTCTTAATATTAGCTGATACTTAATATTTGGGTGTTAGGTCCTTTGAGGTTCCTTTTCACTAGGATGGCCATGTACTTCGTGTCCACGTTGGCACACTTGTGAGGGTGAAATGAAAGGGGGCCACACTAGTGACCACATAGGGATGCCAAGTGAGGGATGGCCATGTCTGTTGGAGTCCCTTTGAGGTGGGATGCTCTCCCCTTACTCCCCCCATGCCATCAACTTGAAGAACTGTGTTGTCCTTTGGGACATTGCGCTCACTGGATTTATATCTGTTGTTAGGGTCCCCTGGTGCCGTTTGTCTTGTTCCCCTCTCCCTATATTTCTTGGGCATTTGCTCTAAAGCCTTGATCAGATGCAGGTTCAGTTCTTATGGTGCATTTGCCTTCAGTGATACACTAGCTAGTGGTGGAGTGGCTTTCTTCATTGTATCAGGAGGCCTGGCTCACCTGGATCTCTCACTTTCATGATGGGCCCATCACATTTCATCTGATGGGCCCATAGCATGTGTAGCTCTCACACAGCCTCCCGAGGAAGTGTCCATGCTATTAAACTCATTTTACAGATGAGGACATAGAGGCCCAGGGAGGGTAGCCAACAATGTGACAACAGTGTCACATAGTAGTAGAGTCTAGACCGGAACTCAGGTATGGGTTGCTCTAGGGCTCGGGCTCTTCGCCTCCAGGTCGGTGCTCACGGGTGGTAGTGATCATCATTCTAGATGAGCCCTTTCTTTCTTTCCTTTCTTTCTTTCTTTTTTTTACGAATTTATTTATTTATTTATTTGACAGAGAGCTCAAGTAGTTGGAGAGATGGGCAGAGAGAGAGAGAGAGAGAGGAGGAAGCAGGCTTCCTGCTGAGCAGAGAGCCCAATGCGGGACTCTATCCCAGGACCCTGGGACCATGACCTGAGCTGAAGGCAGAGGCTTTAACCCACTGAGCCTCCCAGACGCCCCTAGATGAGCCCTTTCACTGAGCTGTATGAGGCACTTGTTCATACCCATTTTGCTGGTGTCCAATAGAAATACTCAGACTCACGGAATATAGGAAGAAAACCTAACGTGGAAATAGGAGAGGGGGCAGACCCCAGAGTCCTGTTACTCAAAGACTCTCCCTGAGCCCACTTCTTTTTTTTTTTTTTTAATTTTATTTTTTATAAACATATATTTTTTTCCCCAGGGGTACAGGTCTGTGAATCGCCAGGTTTACACACTTCACAGCACTCACCATAGCACATACCCTCCCCAATGTCCATAACCCCACCCCCCCTCCCAACCCCTCTCCCCCCAGCAACCCTCAGTTTGTTTTGTGAGATTAAGAGTCACTTATGGTTTATCTCCCTCCCAATCCCATCTTGCTTCATTTACTCTTCTCCTACCCCCTTAACCCCCCATGTTGCATCTCCTCTCCCTCATATCAGGGAGATCATATGATAGTTGTCTTTCTCCGATTGACTTATTTCGCTAAGCATGATACCCTCTAGTTCCATCCACGTCGTCGCAAATGGCAAGATTTCATTTCTTTTGATGGCTGCATAGTATTCCATTGTGTATATATACCACATCTTCTTTATCCATTCGTCTGTTGATGGACATCTAGGTTCTTTCCATAGTTTGGCTATTGTAGACATTGCTGCTATAAACATTTGGGTGCACGTGCCCCTTCGGATCACTACGTTTGTATCTTTAGGGTAAATACCCAGCAGTGCAATTGCTGGGTCATAGGGTAGTTCTATTTTCAACATTTTGAGGAACCTCCATGCTGTTTTCCAGAGTGGTTGCACCAGCTTGCATTCCCACCAACAGTGTAGGAGGGTTCCCCTTTACAGAGGATTTCCTTACAGAGGAGAGGGCCTTTGCACACCCCCAGGATGGCCCTGGGGCTGGGTGTAGCTGGTGAACTCACCTTGGGCCTGGATACCCCATGAAAGGCCTGGCTAAATCAGGAGCTTTCCACAAGGTTTGGGGGAGGCAGCAGACTGACCTGCTTGGGACACGCCCAGCCCTCCTAGAGGGCGGTACTCTGTTCTATCCCCTCAGATTCTGGCCTTGAAGTCAGCCCATCAGGGTGTGGGTCCTGCCTGGGCTTTGGACAGTGGGAGCTTCCAGTTCTGCTTGTGTGAGAGAGAGAGACAAAAATACCCTTGTGGGGGTAGCTGTGGGGTCAGTGGGATGGTACATGTTGGTTCCTGTCAGCAGTGGCTCTGGATGTTCTTACATGGTGCCTTTTGTGGGAGGAAGCTTTTGAATAGCCTACACCATTGTTCAACCTCTGCTCTGCCCTGCTCTGGCCACGGCAGAGGCCCTCATTGGTCCCTTTTATCACAGATGCCAAGAAGAAGAGAAGAAAGCCAAAACTGAAGAAACCAGAACCCATCCTCTTGAGAGACCGATCAACCTCCCCATGCCTGCCACCAGCCCTGCTGCCACCTCCCCCACTGCCGTCACCTGCCACCACCATAGCCTCCGTGGTGGCCCCATCGCCTCCTGTCTACACTATGCCTAGGGTCTTTGGTCCCTTCCCTCCGCTGCCCAGCAAGTCGGTCAGTGAGCTCATCCCACATTCCCTGTGGCCCTGGGAGGGGCAGCCTCCGCCCCTGTGCTCAGAGCCAACCCCAAGGCTCTCCTGGGCCCACGGCAGTGACTGTCAGAAATTTGTTTTTAAGCGGCACAATGCTGTCTGGAGGCAAAATCTTGGGTAGAATGTTGATAGATAAAGCAGATAAAAGGGGTCTGCTCCAGTTGAAGGGTTGGAGGCATGGAGTTTCACCTGCTTGGCGTCAGCTGAACAAGGCAGCCGCCACAGGGCAGAATCTTGGGGGGCCTAAAGGACAGGTGGAGAACCATGGCTGCCACACCCCCAACATCTCCAGCCTCACACCTGTCCCACCTCATGGCTGGTGTTCTCCTTCCCACTCTCTTTAAGTGCCTCGGCAGTACCTTCCTAACTACCGCCCTCTCTTGGCCCCTGCTTATCCCTCACTCTCAAGCCAGGCAGCCTCCTCATCCTCTCTCAGTTCCCAGCTCCCCCATCCCGTCCCTCTTAACACCAAGCTTGAGGTGGGCACAAAGGATGACCCCGATGCATTTGCTGAATGAGTGACAGTCACATAGTTTCCCTAGTTCTTGTATAAGGTGTTTTTCTTCCCCACGAAGCGCCCAAACTTATCCTAAGATTTCCCTTATTTCCTGCAGATGGAGAAGTTGGAGGTTGCAAGGTCAGAAGTGAAACTGAACTGGGCTGGCCTGTCATCGAACCCAAAGAGGTGGAAGGAATGGATTCTAGGCTCAGGGCAAAGGAAAAGAGCATTTTAGGGAGCACACTGTGGGCCGTGCTTGGTTCCCATTTTTCCCTACCTTGTTCATCCTCACCACAATCCCGAGGAGTTGTTATCCCCATTTTATAGGGACGGAGTCAAGGCTCATAGAGGTCTCCTCTGCGCCCGGGAGTCCCTGTGGGAGGGCCTGCCTAGGAGGAGTCCAGAGCTGATGCTCCCCTCCCTGCCCTGCCTTGCAGACATATGGTTGATCTGACCCCCTTGGTCCTCAATCCCGGAGGCTTCCATTTCTCATACCTGGCTGGAAACAGTGCGCACAAGCTCCACTGCCCTGGCTTCCCCTGGTAAGCGTGCCTCTGAGCCTCTCTGGGTTGGGATGTCATCCTGGCTTGATGGCATCATGGCAGTGTACAGGAGGGCCAAAAAAACATTCTGTGTTGTAGTCCTTCGCATTTTCTGAAAGGGCCCTAATGTAATTGGGTGCTGGAAAAGTCACTCCCCCTTCCTAGAGTGTGTAAATGCTGAGAATGGGTAACAAGCAGCTCAAAGACACACCAGAAAGGGAATGATTCCATCAACTGTGGGTAGCCCTAAGGTTTACACACATGTGTTTTGCAAAGCAGGGATTTACTGAATATGTAGTTTGTTTGCTTGTTTGGTTTAATCACCTGTTTTCAACATTTATGGTGGTGGTGAGTATTTCCCATGGCATTCCGTGGAGTGTTATTTCAAAGTATGTACGTAGATTGGCTGCTTCAATGCATTAGATGATTTTTTTTTAATAGCTATTTTTTAGAGGAGTTCTGTATTCACAGCCAACTAGAAAAGTGCTGAGAGTTCTCAGATCCCCCTCCCCCTACTCAGGCACAGACCCCCCCACCCCATTATCAACATCCCCTACCTTACAACTGATGAACCTACATTGACACGTCATCACCCAGAGTCCATATGTTTGGGCTCACTCTTGGCGTTGTACGTTCTATGGGTTTGGACAAATGTGTACTGACAGGTGTCCCCTACCATAGTGTCCTGCAGAATAGCTTGGTTGCCTTCAAAGTCCTCCAAGCTCCAGCCGTTCATCCCTCCCTCCCCACTAACCCCTGACTACCACTGATCTTTTTATTGTCTCCATGATTTTACCTTTGCCAGGATATTACATACTTGGAATCGTACAGTATATAGCCATTCCAGAATGGTTTCTTTCACATACGGTTCCTCCATGTCTTCTCATGGCTGGCTTGTTCCTTTTCGGCACTGAATAACTGGGTACACTAGTTTATCCATCCAGCTGCTGGAGGACATCTTGGTTGCTTCCAAGCTTTGGTATGGACAAAAGTTTTCAACTCTTACCAAGGAGCACGATGGCCGGATCACATGGTGATCATATGTTTCATTTTAAAGAAACGACTGAAGTGGTTGTACCATTATGGATTCCCACTAGCAGTGAGTGAGAATGCAAATGACTTACCATGTGAGAAACCTGCACAGTTCTGTAGAGATGATTCTATTTTTTTTTAAAGATTTTATTTATTTATTTGAAAGAGAGAGACCACAAGCAGGCAGAGAGTGGGGAAGTATGCTCCCTGCTGAGCAGAGAGCCCGGTGTGGGGCTCGATCCCAGGACCCTGAGACCATGACCTGAGCCAAAGGCAGAGGCTTTAACCCATTGAGCCACCCAGGCACCCCAGAGATGATTCTAAATTTAGTTGATGGAAAGTTTATTCACGAAGACACCCAAAGTGTAAACAAACCTTTAAATATGTTTTTGGTTTCCTTAGTAATGAAAGATGTACATGTTAAGGTTGCTAGGATATGTGTTCTCTGCCTATCAAAAAGCCCCAGGTAGGGGTGCCTGGGTGGCTCAGTGGGTTAAAGCCTCTGCCTTCGGCTCAGGTCATGATCCCAGGGTCCTGGGATGGAGCCCCGCATTGGGCTCTCTGCTCAGCAGGGAGTCTGCTTCCTCCTCTCTGTCCGCTTCTCTGCCTAGTTGTGATCTCTGTCTCTCAAATAAATAAAATCTTAAAAAAAAAAAAAAGCCCCAGGTAATGACTCGTGGGTGGCTCAGTCAGTTGCGTGTCTGCCTTCGGCTCGGGTCATGATCTCAGGGCCCTGGGATCGAGTCCCACATTGGACTCCTTGCTCAGCAGGGAGCCTGCTTCTGCCTCTGCCTGCTGTTCTCCCTGCTTGTGCTTGCTCTCTTGCTCTCTCTGTCTGAAAAGTAAATAAAATCTTTTAAAAAAAAAAAAGCCCCAAGTGAAGAGAATCCAGTGCTGTAAGGGCTTTAGGAAGAGAATCATTTTTGTTGTGAAAATACTATATATTGGCTTTTTCCTGTTAAAAGGTCTTTGAGATAATTTGCCTAGTATCATATGAATTCACCCATTTAAAATGTTCACTTTAGTGGCCTTATATATATTCACATTTGTGCAAACATGCCCACAGTCCAATTTTAGAACATTTCCATCATGTCCAAAAGAAGGGAGTGAAAAGACAACCCACAGAATGGGAGAAAAGATTTGTAAATCAACAATAAAAAACCCATTCCAGAAAATGGGCAAAGGACTCGAATAGACATTTCTTCAAGGAAGGCATACAAATGTCCAATAAACCAAGGAAAAGATGCTCCCCATCACTAGACATCAGGGAAATGCAAATGAACACAGTGAAATACCACATCCCACCCCCCAGGATGGCTCTTAACATCAATGGCATGTTGATGAGCATGGGGATAAATTGGAACTCTAGCATGTGACTGGTGGGAATGTAAAATGGGGCAACCACCATGGCAAAAAGGCATGGTGGTTCCCCAAAATGTTGAGCATAGGATTGCCATATGACCCAGTAATTCCACTCCCAGGTATATGGCTGAAAGAAGTCAAGTAGAGAGACTCAGATGCTTGCCCATGAATCTCCGTAGCACCGGCATCACCGTGGCCAAAAGGAGGAGTCAACCCAAGTGTATCTAAGATGAACAAAATGTGATCTAGCCATATAACAGAATGTTGAAACAAGTGAAAGAAGCCAGCACGAGAGGACAAATTACTGTATGGTTCCAGAGTCCTCGAGACAAAGTAGATGAGAGGTTACCAAGAACTGGGAGAAGGAAGTGGGTTGTTGCTTAATTGGTACGGTTTCTGTTTGGGAGGATGAAAAAGTTCTGGAAATAGATAGTGGTGATGGTCATAGGACATTGTGAATGTATCTAATGGCAATGAATTGTACACACAGAAATGGTTAAAATGATAAATTTTATGTATATTTTACTACAATAGAAAACAAGCAAGAAACCCTAGCACCACTTAGCTGTCACCCCCCAGTTCCTCCACCCCTGGCCCTAGGCAGCCATTAACCTACTCTCTGTGGATTTGTCTGTTCTGGACATTTCATATAAATGAAACCATACAATAACATGGTATTTCGCGACTGGCTTCTTTCATTTAGCATAACGCTTGCAAGGTTCATCCATGTCATAGCATGTGTTAACTACGAATTTCCTGTTTGTATGTTTGCTTAAATTGGCAGAATAATTTATTTTTATTTATTTATTTTTAAAGATGTTATTTATTTTGGAGCGAGAGCAAGTGCGTGCATGCAAGTGGTAGTGGGAGGGAAGAGAGAGGGAGAGGGAGAGAGGGAATCTCAGGCAGACTCTATACTGAGCCTGGAGCCTGACGCAGGGCTTGATCTCAAAACGCTGAGGTCACGATCTGAGCCGAAACCAAGAGTTGGATGTTTAACTGGCTGACCCACCCAGGCGCCCTTGGGGATAATTTATTTTATTTTTTACTTTAAAAAATTTGTATTTAGGGGTGCCTGGGTGGCTCAGTTGTTTGGGCAACTGCTTTTGGCTCGGGACGTGGTCCTGGCATCCTGGGATCGAGCCCCATGTTGGGCTCCTTGCTCGGGGGGTGAGCCTGCTTCACCCTCTCCCTCTGCTTGCTACTCCACCAGCTTATGCTCTCTCTCTCTGTCAAATAACTAAATAAAATTTTTAAAAAATTTAAAAATTTTTATTTAGGGGCGCCTGAGTGGTTCAGTGGGTTAAGCGTCTGACTTCAGCTCGAGTCATGATCTCGGGGTCCTGGGATTGAGCCCCACATCGGGCTGTCTGCTCAGTGGGAGCCTGCTTCCCCCTCTCTCTCTCTACCTGCCTCTCTGCCTACTTCTGAGATCTCTGTCAAATAAATAAAATTTTTAAAATTTTTAAAATTTAAATTTGAGTTAGTTAATATACAAATTTCCTGTTTCTTAAATGTCTTTTTTAAGACAAATTTTTGTTTTTTTAAAGATTTTATTTATTTGACAGAGAGAGAGAGACGTCACAAGTAGGCAGAGAGGCAGGCAGAGAGAGGGGGAAGCAGGCTCCTTGCTGAGCAGAGAGCCCGATGCGGGCCTCGATCCCAGGACCCTGAGATCATAACCTGAGCCGAAGGCAGCGGCTTAACCCACTGAGTCACCCAGGCGCTCAAGACAAATCCTTTTTAGAGCAGTTTCAGGTTCACGGCAAAACTGATAGGAAAGAACTGAGAGTTCCCACACGCCCCCTGCCCCCAGTATGTGCACAGCTGCCCTCATGAACAACATCCGCTCCGGAGTGATGTGTGTGTTAACAACCGAAGAGCCTGCACTGACATCATCACCCAAAAGTCATAGTTTCCATCCGGGTTCCCTGTTGGTGCTGTACCTTCTATGGGTTGGCTTTCTTCTTATGGTGGAATGGTATTCCATTGTATGGCTCTAATACCGTGTTTTCTCTATCTGTCCATGAGCTGATGGACATTGGGGTTGTTTCCATTTTTTTGGCTCTTGTATCTAATACTGTTAGGAACATCTGTGGCCAAGTGTCTGTGAGGACATGGTTGTCTGTTTTCTTGGGTATACCCATAAGAGTGGAATTGCTGGGTCATAGGGTAAGTGTGTATCTTGAGCAGCTGCCAAAGACACAAGGCCCTTATCAGACATAGGATCTGCAAATGTTTCCTCCCACTATGTGCGTTGTCTTCCCACTTTCTCAGTGGTGTCTTTTGAAGCACAGAAGTGTAAGGTTAGTCCTTTCAAAAGGCAGTTTATCAGAACATCAGGACCGATAGGCGTTTTTAAATTCTTTGCTCTGTTGTTGTTTCGTTGTTGTGGTTGTTTTAAGATTTTATTTATTTGAGAGAGAGAAAGCACAAGCAGGGGGAGTGGCAGAGAGAGAGAGAGAGAGAAGCAGGCTCCCTGCTGAGCAGGGAGCCCGACATGGGGCTCCATCCCAGGACACCAGGATCATGACCTGAGTTGAAGGCAGATGCTTAACCAGCTGAGCCATCCAGGCGTCCCTGCTCTGGTATTTTCAGTCCTGGAAGCTGGCCCCAAGGAGATGATGAAGGGAAAGAAAAAAGTGATTGTGTACCAATATGTCTGGGGCAGTGTCATGTAAAAGAAAAACTGGAAACAGCTTAAATGTGCATTCACTGAATTATGGAATATTATGCAGACATAAAATTATAAACCTGATCATATAGATTCATGAATTATGTCTAAGTGGAAGGAGTAGGCTATGCAGTCAGATCAGAAGTAGGTGGGATGAAGGGATAGGAAGGGGACTGACAGCTGGGTGACAGAGAAGGGGTTGTCAGCAAATATGCGCAGTGTTGTCATGAAGCAACATGTAAAAGTGAGGCGTTGGCCTTATCAGATCCTCACAGAATTATGGGGCCATGCACTGGGGCTGGACCCTATTAGGGCATTGCTGTCAAGATACCTTCTAGCTTTCTCTAGGCATCATTTTATAAAGGTGTGATTCAGTTAGACAATGTCATTTTTTTTTTTTATCTTGCCTTTGTCACTCATCATTAAGGCCATGGGGACACGTCCACTTCTTCATGGTCTTTTGAAGTCGAGCTTCATTGGCTGTATGATACCCTTTGTCTGTAGTGCAGTCCCTTAACTCCATTTGGGGCTTCCATGAACACAAGAGGTGCTTCTGGTTCCTTTTCCACGAGGATTAAAGTCTTTATGTGCTAAGCCATTCCTGAATTTCAGATGAATTTCCTGAAGTGGAATTATAAGGGAAATGGTATGAACAGTTTTTAAAAGCCTTTTTTTTTTCAGACTCTAAAACAATATGTACTTATTGTGGACAATCTAAAAACCACACACAAAGGAGAAGAAAAGCCATACCAAACCACCCCTATTCCTACTGCCAGAAATAGCATCACATATAATTGTCTTTTCCCTGTGGAGATGCATATCTATACACGTCTGGTAGTCTGTTACCTCATTGGGACTGTCCTGTTGGGCAGTTTCATAGCCAGCTGTGGAATGTGTTTCTTCTCATGTCTTTAGAATTAGACTTACATTAACCAAAAATAGATGCACAGTGCTCCATTGTATGGATGGAAGATTTCCTCAACAGTTCTTGCTTGTTAAAACATTGCCCTGATGGGGACAATTTTAGGCTCTTGTTACATATTGCTTTCTGAGTGAGCTGTGTTCTGATGCTGTCATCAAAACTGGGGTATTTTTAATTGGCTTTAAAAAGTTTACAAAAGCAGGACACGTTCTATGGGGAAAAGTTTGTAATAGAGAAATGAGTATGTAAAATATAAGAGGCCCCCGCTCAGAGTCCCACTGCCAAGAGTTTCATGTGTACCCTTCTAACACACACACACACACACACACACACACACACACAAATACACTGGTTAATTTTGTAACCAACACAGGATTATATTACATGTACTTCCCAGAAGCTGGCATTTTTCCACTACCGTATCACTGGGGCATCGTTATTTGCTGGGGTCTCCAGACCTACCTCAGTCCTTCCAACAGCTGCAGAACAGCCTGCCACATGGCGGCCGTGGTTCCTTTAGCCATTTCCAGAGGAATGTTTAGGTGGTTTCCAGGTTTTCACAATCACAAACATTGCTGTGGTGAACAGCCTGGAACAACCATCCATGGGAGAGAGTTCTGGAAGTAGAAATGCCCTGAGAGCCATGCCACAGCCTCTGGTTTTGTTATGTGTACTTCTGGTGGCTCTTTGTGCTGGTATCCCACCTCATGGACATGTCTTGGCTATCTCCTGCACAGGACCTCGGCTTGTAGTGGCTCCCCCAAGACCGAAGAGACACCACTCTCTCCTGTGAAGGCCTCCATCTTCACCCCGCCTGTCTTGCTCAAGTTCCAGCCTGTGCCAAGACCCAAAGATGACTCTGAGAACGACCCCAGCAGCACAGAGTCTGTGCCTCCCAAGAGGGGCCCATAACCTCTTCCCTACAGACCATGGCTAGAGGAGTGAATAAAGTTCCTGTGGAGGTGCTTGCTTGTGCTGGGCTCCCTAGAAGCTGTACAGTCCCATGGGCTTCCTCCAGTTGGAAGAGGTGGTCAGGGTGGTGCAAGCCTGAGGCCCCGGCGGCCTGAGCCTGCATCTGGTAATTGGTCAGGTTGGTGGTAGTGTGTAGTCCCCTTGCTTGCACTCATATGGGAATTGAGCCACGGTACTTTTTTTTTTTTTTTAAGATTTTTTTTTTTTTTTTTAATTTGAGAGAGCGAGAGAGAGAGCATGAGTGGGGAAGAGAGGGAGAAGCAGGCTCCTCGTTGAGCAGGGAGCCCTATGTGGGGCTCAATCCCAGGACCCTGGGGTCATGACCTGAACTCAAAGCAGACTCTTGACTGAGCCACCCAGGTGCCCCAGCCATGGCGCTTTGAAAGAGAAATGAGTGATGAGACAGGGCTGTCCTTCCCTACAGTGACTCTGGCCCCTTTGGGTGTCGCTTGACCCCACTGAATAGGAAGTCTACCATTTTTCCCTATACTTGGCCCCAAAACTCAAACTTTATCCAGGTGTGGGTTTAAAAACAGTGATCTGTTCCCTCTCTTGAGGAAAATAAGCTGGTGTATTAGTTTCCAACTTGGCACCTCCCCAAGGAATTTCAGAGACAGTGACTCCCCTCACGCAGTAACCTGAGAATCAAACCTGCATGTGAGATATGAGTCCTCACTAAATGCTTTATGACTGCTGGACATTAGCAGATAATCACTGAACCCTTGTGTATGCCCCACACCTTGCTTGGGACTGGAGATAATAAGCCAAGTCGTTGGGGGTCCCAGCTCTTAAGGAGCTTACATCCTATCCTCGTGTGTGTGTCTCTGTGTGTGTAACCAGTGTAGAGATCTAATTAATAACAGGGTTCTAAGTTGTGGTAAGTCCTGTGGGAGCTGAGTTGGACATGTATGCAGTGGGCTGTCAGAGAGGGCCTCTCTGAGGAGATGACGTTTATATTGAAACCTAGAAAATGAGAAGGAGGCAGCCATGAGATGAGAAAGGCCAAGGAAGCTGGCTTTGGGTGGCTGGCTGATGGTATAGTTGAGTACGGGGAAGAAGGGGGATGGAGAATTCTGTTTTGACCAGACGTGTTAAATTTGAGATCAGGGGTATCTAAGTAGAGGTCAGGAATCTGGAGTATTGGCCGTCTAATGATGAGAATCAAGGGATACAAGTAATATTTAAAGCCACGAGCCTATGTAAGATCACCCAGTGCGTGGGTGTAGATGGAAGCCCAGGGCTTAGGCTGGAGCACATGAACATAGTGATCTGGTCAAGGGAAAGGGTCCATAAGGGGTAGAGATGCGTGAGGGCTTTAGATTTTTGGACTTAATGGCTACTTGTCCCTAATTCGCCCAGAAGAGGGGCCTGGAGTCAGTGGGGACTGAATAGGGGGAGCAGAACGGGCACACAGCGAACATGGACGTGCCTTTGGAGTTGTCTGCGGTGGAAGGAAACAGATGAGCCTGAGGCTGATGGGACTTAAGGTGCCCGGCTGACTTAAAGACCTGAGAGCCCAAGTGAAACCAGGGCGCGCTTGAGCAGGAACGGCACGTAGCCAGGCCTGGATGAGGAAGCGAAAGATCCAGAGAGAGGACCCCCGGCGCCTGAGAAAGTGGGGCCTCGAGACAGAGGTCCCTTGCCTCACCATCATCTAAGCCTTATGATGAATTCGGCCCATGCACCCTAGAACCAGGCGTACTTGCTGGGCATGCGCACTCGGCACCAGGTGTCCCAGTTCCCTTAGGCACGGCGCCCGCTTCCGGGGCGGGTCCGCGAGACCCGGAAGTAATTAGGGAGCTGGTTCGGGAAGTCGGAATTTGGATTGTTTGCCGTCGTTTCTCCGCACTCGCTAGTCCTGGCACTGCCAGCGCCGCTGCCGCCACCATGGGGAAGCGACAGCATCAGAAGGACAAGATGTAAGTTGAGCCGCAGCCGGAGCGGAGCCTCGCTCGGCCTCAGTGCCCGCCTGTCCCGCACTCCGCGCCGCCCTTCTTCCCTCTCTCAGAGCTGGTTCCCGGAGCGGCTCGTAAATGGCACTTCGTGCCGGCAGCCTCTGCCCCTTCCCCAGGCGGGGAATTATCCCCCGTACCCCCCACCCCCAGCGCCGAGGTCTCCCGGGCTCCCGGTTCTAACACGCCGTAGGTGCCGTCTTCTGAGCGTGGCCCTCCCACTGTCTTGGCGCTGGGCGAGCACGGGCCCCTCTGCACTCCCGAGCTCTGCTCCCGAATCAGCCCCTGCCTCTTCCGCACCTCCAGTCTCCCTGCATGCTGGTTCATCCGCCTACACTCATGTCCCGGAGTCTTGCAGTTTAAAACAAAACTAGTCGTGCCCCGTGCTCCCCTTCAGCTGCCACTGTGATTTGTTGTTTTTTCTTTCTCACAAGACGTGAAAGACTTGCGTCTGCTTGCTGTGTTCTGATGTCTTCTTGAAACTACTCCAGGCAGGCTTGACTCCCCAGCACTACTCGTGTCAGGATCCTAGTAACTTCTCTGTTGCTAAATCTAGTGATCAGTTCACAGTTCTCATTTTGTGGGGCTTCTCAACAGCCTGACACAGCTGACCACCTCACTCCTTCTGAACACCTTCTTTGGTATGTGGGACATCATATGCTGTTGGTTTTACATCTGCCTCAGTGGCGTCTCTATCCTCAGTCTCCTTTGCTGGATCCTTTTTCCTCTCCCAGAGTTCATACATCCATGCCCTCCACGTTTTTTCTTCCCTTAATGTTCTTTGTGATCTCCCCTCTTGGCAGTAGTCAGCTGCTTACTCAACATTTCCAGCTGGAGGTCTGATAGACATCTCAAATTTAATATGCTCCTCCTTCATCTCCCCTCTGTCAGTGGTCACACCGACATTGGGTTTCTTAGAAGTCTGGGAGTTAGCTTTGAGGCCTCTTTTCTGCGGCTCTCTCCTCCCCCTGTTCATCAGTAAATCTTTATGGCTCTTCCAGGAGCCACTTCTCACTCATCCAGCAACCGTCCGGTAGGAGGAGTTTATGCTCACTCGTCCTTGAACCATTGTAGTTGCCTTCTGATTGGTTTTCTGCTGCCTCTCTTGCTTGTCCCTCTCTACACAGGCTCCAGGGAAATGCTTTGAGGACTTACGTTAGTCATGCCAGGGCCTTACTCAAAACCCTCCAGCAGCTTTCCATACTGCTTAAAGCCAATCCTTAGCCCTTACCCGGCTTGTGGGGCCCTGCGTGATCTGACCACCACCCTTCTTCATCTGCTCCTGGATGCCCCTGTGTGCTTTTCTTCAGCGACTTCACCCTTTTCTGAAAACACAACAGCTTTTCCTATCTCGGGGCTTTTATATTTGATAAGCCTGCTTGGTCCCTCTACCTGGAAAGTTCTTCCCTCAGATCCTCACATGGCTAGTTCCTTTGCATCTTTAAGCCTTCTGTTAAATTCTGTTCATTTCCTTCAGAGGAAAGCAGGACTATTTGTATTTGCTTATTAGTTTGTGTATCTCTGTGTTCTGTTGTATTAACCACTATGTGTCTGACACATAGCAGGTGTTTTATAAGCGTTTGCTGAATGAGTGAAACGATTCAGTCATTGGTTACTTCCAGAGACTGTCCTCTTTATAAAGGGTGGTGGTAGTAAGATTCTCTTTCTCTTCTTCAGGTACATTACCTGTGCTGAATACACTCATTTCTATGGTGGCAAGAAACCAGGTAAGGCATGAAATCCTTCTGTTTCCCTTGGTGTGGATGTGTGTGTATGGGGGGGTTTGTTATTAAGTAATAATGGTCTTCACTACACAGTGAGACTGTAAAAGTTAACAATGAACAAGAACACAGAAAGTGTAGCAGACAGATGGGTTGAGAACACAGATAATTCACAAAAAAGAACACTGAACACATGAGAAAATTAATCTCGGTGAGGGTATATATATCTATATATATTTTTGTGACAGCATGCCTGAGAGCAACTGCAGGTGGGGGAAGGGGCAGAGAGAAAGAGAGAGAGAGACTCAAGCAGTCTCCATGCCGAGCACAGAGTGGACAAGGCCTTGATCTCATGACCCTGAGACCATGACGTGAGCCAAAATCAAGAGTCAGTTGCTTAGGGGCACCTGGGTGGCCTAGGGGTTAAGGCTCTGCCTTTAGTTCAGGTCATGATCTCAGGGTCCTGGGTTTTAGCCCCGCATCACAGTCTCTGCTCAGCAGGGAGCCTGCTTCCCCTCTCTCTATGCCTACTTGTCTGCCTACTTTTGATCTCTCTCTCTGTCAAATAAATAAATAAAATCTGTTAAAAAAAAAAAAAGTCAGATGCTTAACTGTGCCACCTAGTGATCACCTGTGGTGATATTTTTTGACATAAATAAACATTCTTTTTTCTGTCACCACCTAGTGATCACCTGTGGTGATATTTTTTGACATAAATAAACATTCTTTTTTCTGTCAAGTTAATAAAGAATGAAAAGAATGATAATACCCAAGTTATCAAGGCTGCATTAAAAAGAGCACATTCTCATTAATTGCTGATGGGGGTAAAACCAGCACAACTGTCTTGGAAAGCCAAGCCAGGCCCCACAACAATGTTGTGGGAGAAACCCAACCTCAGTGGCTTATTGCTCTAAATTTATTCTTGATATACTCCATGTGTTCTACCTATTGAAAGGTTTTGTTTGTTTGTTTTTAAGATTTTTATTTATTTTTTTGGAAGAGGGAACACAAACGGGGAGTGGGAGAGGGAGATGCAGGCTTCCTGCCAAGCAGGAAGCCTGAAGCGGGGCTCGTTCCCAGGACCCTGGGATCATGACCTGAGCCGAAGGCAGACACTTAACGACTGAGCCACCCAGGCGCCCCTATTGAAAGGTTTTTAACCCATACTAGTGTTAGTGTTTGCACTAGGTAGTTAACATGAACTTTTTCTTTTCTTTTTTTTTTTTTTTGAAAGATTTTATTTATTTATTTGACAGAGATCACAAGTAGGCAGAGAGGCAGGTAGAGAGAGAGAGGAGGAAGCAGGCTTCCCACTGAGCAGAGAGCCCGATGCGGGGCTCGATCCTAGGACCCTGAGATCATGACCTGAGCTGAAGGCAGAGGCTTTAACCACTGAGCCACCTAGGTGCCCCTACATGAACTTTTTCTTAACATGGGATTGAGCTGGTGGTAGGAACACATCCATGAAGTTATTTATAGAATAAGCTTTCTTTTATTTTCATCTTAAACAGATATCCCACAAGCCAATTTTCGTCGTTTACCTTTTGATCACTGCAGGTAAGAGTTTCGAGTGTTAATCTGTCCCTCCTACTTGTTTCCTGGTACTCGTTATTTGACAGTGAATCTGGTCTTTGGGGATGCATATGTGGGTTCCGTCTGTATTCCCCCACCTAGATCTTCCTTGAACTGAGAGAAGGTGACCTAAGAGTGATAAGAATTAATACTTAACTTTCTGCTCATTCTGTGTCTGTATGTTTATGCATTGTTTCTTTTAGCTTCTTTCTATCTTTCTAAGGTAAGTAGACTCTGTTGTTAAGCCTCTTTTACACTTGAGAGAGTCAGTATTTAAAAGTGGGAAGTCCCTCACTCTGGCGTCCCATCCAGAAAGTGATGCCACTGAGGCTTAAACCCAGTGGTCTGACTCCGGGCCCATGTCTTTCGTGCTTTACTTTTATTTTATTTATTTATTTATTTATTTATTTATTTATTTATTTTCTTAAAAGATTTTATTTATTTATTCAACAGAGAGAGATCACAAGTAGGCAGAGAGGCAGGCAGAGAGAGAGAGAGGAGGAAACAGGCTCCCCACCAAGGAGAGAGCCCGATGCGGGGCTCGATCCCAGGACCCTGGGATCATGACCTGAGCCGAAGGCAGAGGCTTTAACCCTCTGAGCCACCCAGGCGCCCCTCGTGCTTTACTTTTAGTCCAGGGTCTAAGTAGTAACAGCATCAGTAGTAGTCATGATACTGTGAACCCCTTCCCCCTTCCCTGGGAACACAGGTTACTGTTGGGGATGGGGAGAGACCCAAATGTAGACACTTCCAGATGCTTTTTCCCATCATGGTTGGTATGTGTATGAACAGAAGGTGGGTCTGCTGGAGAAGTGGGACTAGCATTAATGAACCCCAGACATGGGGGTTGGGGGGATGGTCCACTTGGGCCTCAGTTTCCCCAAGCTCAAGCTGTGATCATCCCTGGTCTGGACACATGCATTGTGGGTGTGGGTGTGTGTGTGTGTCCCGTTGGTTTCTGATTCCGTAGGTCATGATGGGCCTTGAGAACTGACAGAGCTCTCCTAGTGCTCTCAGACAGACACCACAGGGCAGTGAGCATGTAGGAAAGGCCAAGGGTACAGCCACTCGGTCTGCCCCAGGAGGATCCCATGTTGCTCAGGGAGGGTCCACAAGTGAGACCGAGGCCTCGTTGGTTGGATTTCTCCCCACGGATATTTGTCATCAGCCTCCTGGGAATCTGGTCTCATTCAGGGTGTGCATGAATGGATTTTATGGAAATACTTTCATCCTTGGTTTCCAGTTCCTCCAAGAGGTCTCTAAACTGTGTTTCATCCACTTTTTAACTACCTTGGGTTCTGGGTAAAAATGTGCTTTGAGAATATGCCCTTTGAGGCCCATTTTCAAGAAGATGCGTGGATGGTGTCTTGCCGTCTGGAGCTTGCTTTGACGTTGGACCCTGTTGTCCTCAGCCCCCAGCAGCAGCAGGATCACCACTGGGTTAGAGTAATAGGTTGGCCCAGAAAAGGAGGTGGTGAGGTTGTTCCTTGAGGGCTTTCTGGAGCAGCATCTGGGGAGGTGACCCTATCACTGCCAGGCTGGGGACTGACCTGTGCTGACCCAACTTAGAGATGACTGATTTACAAACAAGCCAGGTCAGCCGGGGCTCTTGATGGCTGGCGATGGAAACCCTGTGCAAGAGAAAAGGGTATTGGCTCGAGGAAGTTCACCAGGTATAACCTCCCTTCATCTGTGGGTTCTGCTTTTTACCCTCTACAAGGTGGTAGATGGCTTGTGGCAGTCTGGGTCTCTGCAGACCCATCTGCTCCCATATCTGTGTATTAGAACTTACCCAGGGCTCCTAGGGCACTTGCCTGAGTCACGTGCCTACCCCTTGGAAATGTGGGGGGGGATTGTGTGCACACTCTAAGCAGGAGTGGGCCCAGCACCCCCAGACCAGGATAGGCCCGCCAGAGTCTCTTGGGATGAGAGAGGGCAGCTCTCAGTAGAAGAGTGTGGCCTGCCTGCTATGTGAGGTTTTAGGGAGTGGAGTCTAGTCCTGCCCCCCCAAGGCCGCCTCCAGGAACTTGTTTTGGGCTCGAACATGTCAAATGACACAGCAGAGAGTGTGGGGAAAGAGAGGCTGCTGTTGCCCCAAGGTGCTCTCAGCACCTCTTGGGACCCTTGCCTTGTATTTATTGGTGTGTACAGGGAGCTTCTGAGGGGCAGGGATGTGGGGTTCACCTCTGAACCGACACCCAGCCCTGGCTGGGCAGAGGAGCCTTGGAATTGTTGGAGGGAAGAAGGAAGAAACAAAGGGAGAAGTCATGGGAGCCACTGTGTGACCTGGAGTGACTCTGCCCTTTTCTCAGTCTCTCTCTGCAGCCCTTCGTCTACCCGGTCTGCACCCCTGAGGGTGTCGTCTTCGACTTGCTGTGAGTTTTCCCTCGACTTTTGAGCTAACAAAGGGGGTGAGATTGTTGACACCCACTCGGGAAGGGGGTATGGAACCAGCTGGGGGGTTTGAGTCTTAGGCACTGCCAAGCCAGGCCACGCTGGGGTCTTGGCAGCCTCGGGAGTGTTGGGTGGCCTCTTGGGGACCCAGGAGACTTCCAGAGCTTCAGGGATGAGGCCATAGTGTTGTTGTGACCCCTGGGCAGGCAGCCTTGCCGGCAGGCACTACTGTCCCTGCCTGGGGTGGCATTGACCTCTCCCCATCCGGGGGTGGGGGCTCCTAGGGTTCTAATTGGCCTACCTATACCTGTTTTGGAATGTTAACAAACTTGAATACTTTTTGCTTTATGAAAGTAGAGCCATAATTTAGGTACACTTTCCCCGTACTGTGTTTTGAAGCATGGTGCTCAGTTTTATGTCCTAGCATAAACCAGCTTCTGTAAATTCTTTTTTTGTTTTAAAGATTTTATTTATTTGACAGACAGAGATCACAAGTAGGCAGAGAGAGAGAGAGGAGGAAGCAGGCTCCCTGCTGAGCAGAGAGCCCGATGCGGGGCTCGATCCCAGGACCCTGAGACCATGACCCAAGCCGAAAGCAGAGGCTTTAACCCACTGAGCCACCCAGGTGCCCCAGCTTCTGTAAATTCTTCATGCTTTAGTCTCTATTTAGAACATGTGGAAAATACTTCGAAGTTAAAGGAAAAATTTACCATAATAACACTATCCGGGATAACTGTAGTCAACATTTATACTCTTCTTTTTCCGTGAGTTTATTTGTGGTACGTGGTTGGGGTAGTACTGCGAAGACAGTTCTGAATCCGTTTTTCACCCAGTTGTGTCATTCAGAATTCTCTGGAAGCCTGACTTTTGGTGCTGGCCCAGTATTTCACTGTGTGGACGTATCAACATTTATGTTTATATTTTTTTGCTGCTTTGTGTTGTTTATCCATAACCACGATAAAAACGCTGGATATACGTTGAAACCCATGTATCCAGAAACACTCCTCACTTCCTTGGTCAAGGCAGGGGCTAGCAGAAGTGACTCGGAGCGAAGCCCATTTGCACCGCTCACCTGGACGCGGCCCTCGTGGATGTTGGGCTCGTCACCGGGCTGCACCTGGTCGCCTGGCTGACATTCTCTCTTCTCTTCCCTTCAGTAACATCGTCCCTTGGCTTAAGAAGTATGGGACCAACCCCAGCAACGGAGAGGTAGGTGGCCGGCATGAGTTTTTAAATAATGCCGATTGAACGCTATCCTCTCATCTGTCTTTTGTTCTGTGGTTTTTGTGTGCACATGAGAGCGGTAGAGGACGGTGCATGGGGCACCATGAGTGGGACTGTCCTCCCCTCTCTTCCCCACACTGTTCCTTTCTGGAAATGTTCCTTACATGTACGTGCGTGTGTACAAACGTCCATTTTCTTTCCTTGGGTCCTGATGCAGTCCCCCGCGTGAACCCCACTGTACCTTGCTTCCTCGCCCGTTGGGGTGTTGGAGATCTGAACGTCAGTGTGTAGAGCTGTTCCACGTTCTGTCGTGGCTGCACACGTCTTCTTGTGGGGCTATTGTGGCATGTTGGAAGTCACCTGCTGTTACAGTGGACAGCGACCACCCTGTGCCCATCTCTGGACACATATATGGGGGTCCTCCCAGGACTGCTGGGTCATGGGGAGGGTGTGTTTTCTGTTTCGGCAGCTACTGGCAAACTGTCTTCCAGAGAAGTGGCAAATGCCTGTTCCCCATACCCTCAATAACCACAAGGATCAAGTTTTTAGAAATTTTCTTTGCCTCAGGGTGAGAGCATTTAAAAAAACATTTTAAGATTTTACTTTTAAATAATCTCTACACCCAGTGCGGGCCTCGAACCCACAACCCTGAGATCAGAGTTGCATGCTCCACTGACTGAGCCAGCTAGGCGCCCCTCAATTGGTGTTTTTATCATGAGCAAGTTTAAGCAGCTCCTTCTCTGTCACACACACAGGCCCAGTGTCAGGAATTCTGTGCCACTTGGGAAAAGAGCCCCAGAGCCAAGTTCCAGTGTAGTCGCCTTTTCTGCCCCACACTGCGGGCCTCCATCATAAACCTGTGGGGCTGCTGCCTTTCCCATACTCTGGTGGTCCCTTTACTTCCTGGGGCCCTCTTGTTCCCTTACACTGAGGCACAGGCCCATTTCTTCAGTTCCGCAGCTGCAACAGGCAGGGCCTGGGAGCTGTCGGCTGTGGGAGGTGGGGGCACTCCCCGGCAGGGAGCCGGGGATGGGGGGTGAGGGCCTTGGGGAAGGGTGTTGGAGCAGCGCCGTTGAAGCTGAGACCTGGGGATGGTGGCAGATGGTCAGAGGCCATGTTAGGGAGGGCTTGAAGGCCCTGGGGGGAGTTTGGGTTTGTTCTGGGGGCGCTGGAAGCTGGACAGGGTTTCATGCAGAAGCATGTTGTGATCTGGCCTGTGTCTTTGTTTTATTTCAAAGAGTTTATTGATAGAGAGCACACAAGCAGACAGAGAGACGAAGCAGGCTCCCTGCCGAGCAGAAAGTCTGATTCAGGGCTTGATCCAAGGACCCTGAGATCATGACTTGAGCTGAAGGCAGACGCCTAACTGACTGAGTCACCCAGGCACCCCTGGCCTGCGTTTCGAAGGCTCAGTTTGGCTGTGGTGTAGGAAATAGGACTACAGGGAGGCAAGGTGGAAGGTGGGAAAGCAGCCAGGGGGCTGTGCCCTTGTCTGTGCAAGAGGTGCTGCGTGAACTTGGACCAGGATGGAGGCTGAGGAGGGGGCACAGAGAGACTGGACCCATGGTTGTTGTTACAGATGGACCTGTGGGCCTCGTGGGGCTGTCACATGAGGGTCTCTGTTTCTCTGGGGCTGGGGAGAGCCCAGTAGGAGCCTTTTAGTGCAGTCCCATCTTGGGAGGACTGGGTCACTTACATCCTGTGCCAGGGATGCCTGGGACAGGCAGGTGGAACTGGGTGATCCAGCCTGTGCTTGGTGTTCCAGGCCAGTGGGCCTTCAGCAGGAAGGTCTATCCCTTTGAAGCAGAACCCTGAGCGGCAGGAGGGATTTGGGTGCATGGAATGGGGCAGGCAGTTGGGGTGGAGATGGGATGAGGAGGGCCAGCAGGGAGGGTAGGGACTTCTGTGGGACCTTGGAGGACAGTTGACACCAGGGGGAGGTATTTGAGGCCGAGAGGTTTTTCACCTCATGAAATATGGCCTTTGTGAGGAGGAATAGCGGGCTGGGCGAGGCGGCCGGTTCTGGCACCATGGAGCCGAGAGCTGGCCGGAGCCAGGGGGTTGGAGCCCATCTGCTAAGATGAGGCCCTTCCCCGAAGGGGAAGACAGCAAGCTGGCTGAGGCCTGATCAGATCTGTGATGGAGACCCTGGCGGCCATGCAAGGTGGAGGCCACCTTCAGGGAGGCCCAGGAGGACCTGGGTGCTGTGAGGCTTGAGGGGGAGGTTAGTGAGGGGGCGAGCAGTGTGAACGGTGTCCTGGTTGCTAGCCTAGGACAGGTGAAATGTCACTGGTTCATTACTTAGCTGAGGTCTTGTTACCTGATTCCTAGAGGCCCTTCTGTGCTGTCTGGGCTCCTCTGGCCCTTGTGACAGAGTGTAGGGTGCCGTTGGCCCCTCGGATCAGGTGGGTGGCTCACCAGCGGTCCTTCCCTGCCCTTGGAAGAAAGGGGGTTAGACTTGGGGGGGTCGTGCTTTCTGGGCCCAGCCACCCAGAGCCTGTGAGTTTTTTTCTCAGATGGTTGAGGTGGTGCTTGTGCCCTGGTCTCTAGAAGAAGAGCGTGCTCCCTCAGGTGTCTGCTGTGTTCTTCCTCACTTTTTGTCATCCAGAAGCGTGACTAGGCAGTGTTTTCCTGTGAGGCCTTCTGCTGAGAAGCCCCGGTGGGCTTCCACGGGCTTCCTGTGGGGTCTGTGCTGCCTGCCTGTGCCCCGTGATTGGCTTGTGCTCGGGGTTCATTGCCTTCCCTGACATGAGTGTCACGTCTGAGCAGGCGAGTCTGCAGGGCTCATCCACAGCCAAGGCTCCGTGCTCTGAGCTCCCAGTGGTGGCTTTCCGCCTCCACCCTACCCCTGGACCGCTTCAGGTCTCCTTGTCCCTGCTTGTCGTCATGGCCTCGGTCTCCTTCCCCATGGATATTGTCATTTGGTTGGGTCTAGGGCACTTTTTGTTTCGGGCTTTTTGATTCACGGGTGCTCTTTAGGGTCCCAAAACATGTAGCTGCTCTGGGCTCGGCCTCTGGCCAGGCCTAACGTGGCAGCTAAACCAAGGGCAGTTCACCAGGAGCTGGCTTGGCCCATGTCACTTCCCGGGGACCCAGGAGGAGCATGTTGTGTGCAGGATCATGTACCCAGACTGCCTGGGCCTGAAGCAGGATGGGAGCAGCCTGGGAGTGAGTACCCCGTTGCTGAATGCTCACTGCACTGGTGGCGGGGCGGGGGCAGTTGAGTGGCCACCGCAGGAATGAAACCAGCCGTGGAGGAGCGGGTGAGGGCTGGCCACTGCAGGAGGACGAGGACATGGGGGCCTGGCCCTGGGTGGCCTGCCCAGCATCTCCTCTGTGGCTCGGTTAGGCAGGGCTGGGCTGGGCTGGCACAGGAGTGGCCAGGCGCCACTGGGATGTGGGCTCTCAGTTAGGTGCTCCGGGGCACCTTCTTGTGGTCTCTCTGTAGTCCCCTTCTCTTGCTCCAATCCAAGCCCCCCACACCTTGGGGCAGCTCTTTTCTTCTGGCTGCCTGGACCTTGTTTTATTGTAAAGTCGCCGATAGAAGAGGTAAAACTACGGATGGCGCAGGAACTTTGAAAACTAGAGGATCCCATCACAGTCACTCCACACGTGGGGGTATTAATTCCTCCCTCCCTCAACAAACTAGTCTTAATGCAGAACAGCAGGGCCACGCTCGTGTACTCCCCAGCTAGGTGAAGAAGTAACATTTATTTGTTTGTTTATTTTAAGATTTTATTTGTTTGTTTGACAGAGACACTGCGAGAGAGGGAACACAAGCAGGGAGAGCGGGAGAGGGAGAAGCAGGCTTCCCGCTGGGCAGGGAGCCTAATGCGGGGTTCCATCCCAGGACCCTGGGATCATGACCTGAGCCGAAGGCAGACATTTAACCGACTGAGTCACCCAGGCGCCCCCGTAACATTCTTTTTTTTTTTAATTTTTATTTATTTTTAAAATTTCTTTTCAGCGTACCAGAATTCAGTTTATTGTTATTATTTTTAAGATCTTATTTATTTATTTGACACAGAGAGAGAGATCACAAGTAGGTAGAGAGGTAGGCAGAGAGAGAAGGGTAAGGGGAAGCAGGCTCCCTGCTGAGCAGAGAGCCCGATGCGGGGCTCGATCCCAGGACCCTGAGACTATGACCTGAGCTGAAAGCAGAGGCCTAACCCACAGAGCCACCCAGGCGCCCCCAGAATTTATTGTTTCTGTACCACACCCAGTGTTCCATGCAGTACGTGCCCTCCATAATAACCCACCACCAGGCTCACCTAGCCTCCCATGCCCCACCCCTCCAAATCCCTCAGATTGTTTTTCAGAGTCCATAGTCTCTCATGGTAACATTCATTTTTAACTTCAGAAGTAGTCAGTACATCAGGGCTCACAATAAAAATGTGTCAGCATTTGAGAAGTATAAAACACACCTCCACTCTCGGCCTCTAGGCAGGGGTTGCCCTGTGAGCAGGTCAGTGTGCTCCTCAGTGGCTGAGGGTTCCGTGGGGCAGCCTCTCTTACCCATGTGACTGCTGGGTCTCAGGGCCCTCAGGGCGGCCCCTGTGGCTCTCCTCTTGTCTGCTGCTGTGAGGGCTCTGCGTGCTCAGAGACCTTGCCCATCTCTCTGCCTCACCCATCCTCATAGGCCCGGCATTTCTTCACATCAGCCACTTGCTCCTTATTAATTATTAATTTTTCTTCCAGAAACTGGACGGGAGGTCCCTGATCAGGCTGAACTTTGCAAAGAACAAGGAAGGTGAGAGATCCATTTTACAGCCATTTCAAAGACTGTGCTCGGACCCCAGCGCCCCTGCCTCTCACCACATTTTCTGCAGAATCCATCATTCTCCTCTGATCAAGCCGGATACTTAATTTTTCTTTTTCTAAAAGATTTTATTTATGTATTTGTGTTTGTGTGAGAGAGAGAGAGTGACCGCACAAGCAGGGAGAGGCAGAGGCAGAGGGAGAAGCGGGCTCCATGCCAAGCAGGGAGCCTGACATGGGGCTCGATCCCAGGACCCTGGGATCATGACCTGACCCAAATGCAGCTGCTTAACAGACTAAGCGACCTAGGCACCCCTTAATTTTTCAAATATGTAGGGGCGCCTTGGCTGACTCAGTCAGTGGAGCACACAGCTCTTGATCTCGGGGATGTGAGTTCAGGCCCCACCTTGGCAGTAAAGATTACTGAAAATAATAGAATGGTTGAAGTGGCAAAGGTTATGTGTATTTTGCCCCAATTTAAAAAAAAGATGTAATATAATTTTTCCTTAAAGGTCCAGATGGTTTAAAGCTGGGGAGGGGGGAGGGGGTAAAATGTTGAGTTTTGGGCACTGCTTTTCACAAGGGCAGTGGGGGCTGTGAGGGTTGCTGATGGCCTTTGTGTGGACATTTGGGCCCTGTGGGCATGGACCCTGTTTAGCTGCGACCCTGCAAGAGCTGCTCAGAGGCCCAGGGCAGGTGGGGGTGGGGGTGTGTTGGGTTTGCTGGGGACTTCTTTGGCTGGGCTTCTCCTCACCGCTGGTTGTGAAGCCCCATGCCAGCCCAGGGATCCTGCTTCCCAGCTCTCCACACCCTCCGCTGTTCTTGTCAGATACCAGAGCTGAGGTGCTTCCCCGTGGGCTCCGACCTTGCTCTTGGCTCTTTGTGGGCCTGGCACAGTTCTCGCAGGCCATGCAGGTGCCATGGCTGAGGTTGTTGTGAGCGCTCAGTGGGTGCGTGCATCCCAGGGAAGATGCTGGGGCCTGACATGCCCGTCTTGCCCCAAAGCCTGGCCCAGAGTAGGTGCCGGCTCACTGTAAATGAGGGTATGGCCTCGACCAAACCGGAGCACGGCGCTTTGTGGATGGCCTGGGGACTCAGAGCTCCATGATGATAGATAAGCACTGCAGACCTCCTGCTCAGAGCTCCGAGCTCTGAGGACCTCGGAGATCCACTGACTCAGAGGCCCACTATGTGTCTCATTCAGCACGTATTTACTGAGTGCCTGCCAGGTGCAGAGAGCAAAACAGGCCACATCCCTCCTGGAGTAAAAGGAGCTTACATTATGGTGAGGAAGGAAACTGGACAACGGTTCATCATAGTGTCAGATGCTGCTTCTGCCAGCAACCAAAGATAGGGAGCGGGGAGGTGAGGGAGTCACAGCGAGACATACTGACGGGGTTTGTGTGGAAATCCAATGAGACAGGAGGTGTGAGGGGATGTGGGGATAAGCATTTCAGGCAGAGGGCACAGCCAGTGCAAGGGCCCTGAGGAGGCCTCTATTGCTGGGACAGTGTTGGGGTGGAAGCAGGGAGCTACGGTTGGAGGGGTCCAGGGTGGGGATGGTGCAGAGCAGTCATGCAGGACATGGGCACCCACAGGACTCCCAGCTGCCAGCCAGAGAGGAGAGATAAGATCTGACCATCCGACCATTCGCCTGGTTTTATTGTTTTAACATTTCGACCAGCCAGCACCTCTTTGTTTTTTTTTTTTAAAGTAGGCTCGAGGGGCCCCTGGGTGGCTCTGTGGGTTAAGTTTCTGCCTTCAGCTCAGGTCATGATCTCAGGGTCCTGGGATTGAGCCCCACATCGGGCTCTCTGCTCAGCAGGGAGCCTGCTCCTACCTCCCGCCTGCCTCTCTGCCTGCTCGTGATCTCTCTCTGCCAAATAAATAAATAAAATCCTTTAAAAAAAAAAAAAAAAAAGTAGGCTCCATACCCAGCATGGAGCTCAGTGCAGGGCTAGAACTCATAGCACTAAGATCAAGACCTGAGCTGAGATCAAGAGTTGGATGCTTGGAGCACCTGGGTGGCTCAGTTAGCTAAGAATCTGCCTTTGGTTCAGGTCATGATCTCAGGGTCCTGGGATCAAGCCCCGCATTGGGCTCCCTGCCCTGCAGAGAGCCTGCTTTTCTCTCTCCCTCTGCCTGCCACTCTCCCTGCTTATGCTCTCTCTCTGTCAAATAAATGAATAAAATCTTTAAAAACAAAACAGAGTTGGATGTCTAACCGACTGAGCCACCTAGGTGCCCCTTTTGCTTTGTTGTTGTTTTTAAAGATGTGTTTGAGAGCGAGTGCGAGCACAGGCATGTGCATGTGTGTGAGGAGGAGGAGGGCAGAAGGAGAGGAGGAGAGAGAATCCTCAAGCAGACTCCACGCTGAGCACAGAGCCTGCCATGGTGCTCAATTCAAGGACGCTGGGACCGTGACCTGAGTCGAAGTCAAGAGTTGAACGCTTAACCAACTGAGCCACCCAGGCCCCCTTTTGGCTTTGTTTTTATTTTATTTTATTTTCTTAAAATATTTATTTATTTGAGAGAGAAAGAGAATGAGAGAGAGCGAGCATGAGAGAGAGAAGGTCAGAGGGAGAAGCAGACCCCTGGCTGAGCAGGGATCCTGATATGGGACTCAATTCCGGGACTCCAGGATCATGACCTGGAGCTGAAGGCAGTCGCTCAACCAATTGAGCCACCCGGGCGCCTCTTTGGCTTTGCTTTTAATTGGAAACTCCAGACAAATGAAAGTAGAATTAGTACGGTGATCCCTGCTCCGTAGCCATCACCCAGTTCAGTTCCTGTCCACTCAGAGCTGTGTGGTTTTATCTGTGCTCCCGTGTGGCACCTGCTTAGGTAATTTTGAAGCAAATACCAGATACTGTGTCATTTCATGCTTAAGTGCTTCAGTGTATATGTCTAAACGATAAGGACTTAAAAAGTCATCATAGTACCATCATCACACCTAAACACTTAACAGGAATTCTTTAGTATCAGATATCCAGCTTATGGTCAAAATTCTGGAATGTTTTCGTAATCTTTTTCTTCTAGTTTTCAAATCAAGATTTTTTAGAAGCCCACACAAATCTGTGTGCTTGCTGTGTCCTGAGTCTCAATCTGTAAATATCCTACCCCCTTTTCCTGCAGTGTATTTGTTGGGACTTACTTGAACGGGCTTCCTGGCTGCCTGGTGCAGAGCTGGCAAGGCAGGGGCAGGGAGGGCAGTGGGAGTTTGTTGCAATAATGCAGGCAAGGGTACAGGGGGTTGGGGAATGTGGCAAGGTGTGAGATGGAGGAGGAGACCAGGGTAGTGGCTGCTAGCAGTAGGCTGATGGCATAGACGCCTTCAAGGAAGGCCGTGCGGGGCTTGGGTTTTGTAGGACGATTAGGAATTTCCCACTGGGATTGGAGCCGGGACTTGAGCAGCTGACTGTCTGTGGGTCTCTGTTCTGGGCCTGCTGACACAGGGTTCTGTGTCCTCCCTTGCTTTGACCTCGGCCCTTTCTCCGACTGGTTTTGTATGTGCCTTCTTTCTAGGAAAGTACCACTGCCCAGTGCTGTTTACCGTGTTCACCAACAACACCCACATTGTAGCTGTCAGGACCACCGGCAATGTCTACACCTACGAGGTGGGTTCTTGGGAACCATGTCGCCTGTAGGCTCTTGAGGGGTGTGGCTCAGGGCAACCCTGGGCTGGTGCTGAGGTTGCCCCGGGCACCCTGGGCACAGCCTGTCTCCGTGGAGCCTACATTCTGAGAGCCACGGGTGCAGTCAAGAAGAGGTGTGCCCTTCCTGTGGCCTCCAGATCTGAAACCTGAGGGTTGGTTTTGTACCCCAGGGGTCCGCCCCGCAGTCCTTGTCTTCATTGATCAGGCCTTGGGAGAGAACCTGTGCTCTGAGGGCAGGCCCAGGGCTGAGGGGAGCATTGAGCACCCACAGCCCCACCTCCTGCTGGAGTCCCCAAGAGGAGCAGACGCAAGCTGGTGGGCAGGCGTGGGGGTGGGGAGGCCCCGATCCCCACCCCCCTAAGCGTGCTGCTCCGGGTGGACTGGCACAGGGTACCACAGCAGTCGCCATGGCACCATGTTGCAGGGAAGCCCTCTCTGAGCTGTTTTCCCATCTGTCCCTGGCTGTGGGCAGGGTCTGGGTGGCCAGTGCTGCCCTAGAGGCTCTGGGGGTCACTGCTGCCCACAGAGCACAGATTTGGCTTGAGGGGCTTGGTAGAGCTGCAAGGCCGGCCTTGTAGAGCCCGTTTGCTGATGTCTGCTGTGTGTCGCATCTCAGCAAGGCTCCTTCAGTGAGCCTTGCTGAGATGGCAGATTCTAGTCTCTGCGGCTCAGCTGGCTCCACCCTCTGTGGTGGGGGGGTACACGGTCATGCTATCCTTTCCCTCCCCCCTGGAATGGCATTGGCACCTGGGTGAGCTCCTGGCTCCCAGGGCCAGGGTTGGGGCAGGCACCCTAACAGCGGGCTCCCTCCTGGCTGCAGGCAGTGGAACAGTTAAATATCAAGGCCAAGAACTTCCGAGACCTGCTGACGGACGAGCCCTTCTCTCGGCAGGACATCATCACCCTTCAGGTGGGCATCCCTTTGCCACTGCTCTTCTGAGGGTGGACCTCGATGCCCTCTGCCAATCCCACCTCCCCGCACAGGCTCTGGGCATGCCTGGTTGAGGTTTCCCAGCTGTCCCTCACTGCTGGCAGTGCCCCCAGCTCCAGCACCCCTGCTCTCTATCCGCCTGGCCCTTTGCACTGCCGCTTCTGTCTGGCTCTCACATCTCTCTTCCAATGTCTGTCCTTGCTGTGCCAGGGTAGCTCATCTCTGCCCCCAAAGCCATCTCCATATCCAGGTGGGAGAGGATGGGCTGGTATGTGTCCTACTCCAGTGTTGAGCAGAGGACGTGCCTCTAGGTGTCAGCCCTGAGTGGGCTCCTGAAAGACCTGGACTTAGAAACTCTGGGGGTGGCCTCATGGGCCATTCCCATCCTTGACTTATCCATCCTCATCAGAGGTCCATGCATGCTCCCTCCCACGGGGTGGGCCCGAGGTGCTGCAGGCTCTATGTCTGGCAGCTGGGCTGAAGGGAGCGGTGAGGGTGTGTGTGTGGGAGGCCTAAGTTGGCTGCCTCATGTCTGCCCTCACCCCCTAGATGAACGTCCATCCATGCTCATCGGCCGTATGCCGGGGAGAATGGGACACAGTGTGCCAGTGTCTGTCCACTCCCCTGCCCACCCCTGCTCTTGGCCCTGTTCTGGCAGAGCCCGCTCCTGACCGCAGGTGCCCTCCATTCCCTGCTTGACACCCCAGATCTCCATGGTGCCCCTGCCTCTCTCTTTCCCAGCCTATGCCCCTGGGGCCACCCAGCTGTCCTTTGTTGCCCGGCTCACTCTGCTGCGTGTGTTCTTTTTGCTGCAGGACCCCACCAATTTGGACAAATTCAACGTCTCCGATTTCTTTCATGTGAAGAATAACATGAAGATGACAGATCCTGGTAAGTACAAGCGCAGCTGGCTTCGGTGCCAGGGGTTTGGGTGAAATAGGTCCGTGCCCTCTGGGTAAAGCCCTCACCTTGCTGGGGGCAGGAGCATCCAGGAGTCTTTCTTGAGCCCAGACTGGCCGATGCTTCCTTCTGTGCCAACATTGGCACGACCGCACTCACCCACACCCGCTCACACGGGGCATGATGTGGGGAGTCCCAGCTGGGGCCCATATGCTTGGTGCCCACTGCCACATATGGTGGAGGCCTAGGCCCCACCTCCTCCCCACTCAGGACTCTGCCTCAGGCCCCCTTAGGCCATGTCCTCTCCCAAGTCTTCCCCTTGCTCCTTAGAAATTGTCTCTGTTCCCACTTCAGGGACAGGTCATGAGTGCAGGCTACTGGGTCCCTCTGGCATGGAGGCAGGTCCTGGGAGGGTAAGGGGTGACTGTGGGCAGGGCATGGCTAGGGACAGAGTCCAGAGTAGACCACAGTGGAAACTGCCTGTGGGCGGGCTCTCTTGCCACCCTTAAGAGCTGTTGCCTCGCATTCTTCCCCGCCCGCCTCCCCTGCGTCGTGGCCCCCAGGAGTCACTGTGTGGGGGCTCGGCTTACTTGCCTGCATCCTGTTCCAGACTTCTGCTGTTGCAGCTGGCTCTGGCCTCTTGTCCCTGTCGCACCTGTCTGGGGACATCACTGGGGGATCGTCTGAGCAGGGTCACTGTGCTGTTTTGTAGATGAAGAAAAGGCCAAACAGGACCCATCTTATTATTTAAAAAATACGAATGCCGAGACCCGTGAGACGTTGCAGGAGCTCTACAAGGAGTTCAAAGGGGACGAGGTCCTGGCGGCCACCATGAAGGTCCCCGAGAAGAAGAAAGTGGACAAGCTGAACGCCGTGAGTAAGCAGAGGGCTACATAGCCGCCAGCGCAGCCGGCCTGCCCATCTCAGCCCCTCAGAGAGGTCCTGGGGGACGGGGCTCATGGGGGCCCTGCGATACCTTTGGAGGGTGGTGGCTGGGACCCCTCAAGAGCCCAGCTGCCCCTTGGGGGCCCAAAGGTGGCCTGCACTGAGGCTGGGCCTCAGGAGGCTGGGGGTGGCTGGTGCATATGCTGGGGGCCCACGGGGTTTGTGTCTCACGCTGGCCCAAGCTCGGCAGCCTGGAGCAGATAGTCTGGGTGGACCTCTGCCTGATTACCACGTGACGCTGCAGCCTCAGGACAGCAGGGAAGGGACAGCCCCTGGGATGTAGTCACTGCCCTGCGGAGCAGGTCACTTGTTGCCCAGAGGAAGCCCAGGGAGAGACTGCAGGGTTTCAGGGGACCATGGTGCTGAGGGGAGGGGACAGCTGGTGCCCACCGCCTGGGCCTCTGCCTGGGTGTCACGTTTGCTTTTCATGACACCCACTTTTGGCTCCAAGGCCCCCAGTTGGCAGTGATGGTGACAGGATTTGTGCCCTGGCCTGTCAGGCCCCAAAGCTGCTTGTTCCCCTGTTCAGGCAGGGCTCCAGGGGATAAGGGAGGGAGGGCTCTGAGGCTCCCTCAGAGAATTAGCCTGGAAAACTCACAAGAGAGAAGGAAGTTTGTTGTTCACGATCCCATCCCTCTAAAACAACAGTGCTTAGCATTTTGGTGTATTTCTTTCTGACAGGGAGAAATGCCTTTTTTTTTTTCTCTTCTCTGACTCTGATAAAAATGTTTTTAACATATTGGGGCTTATTTTTCCCTGATTGAGAAAGCAGTGTGTTTACTCTAGGAAATTGAAACCTTTGAAAAGGAACTAGCGTCCCTCGTACTGTGAACCCCAGCAGTGACTGGTTCCTAGTTCTGTCCAGGGTCTCAGTTACCATGAGAGCCTTGGCCACCTGGGTCTCAGCCTCCTGGCCGGTCAGGGCCCTCTGTTGCACATGCCCCCGGTCAGTCCCTGCACTCCCTGAGCCCTTAGAGAAAGAGCCAGGCCCCCCAGAAGTCCCTGCTGGGCTCTGTGGGAGGCCGCCAGGGACAGCTTCTTGGAGGAAGGGCACTGAGGGGACCCCGAGAGATGGGATCCTGGCCTTCCAGCTTCCCGGGACGCTGCTCATGGGCCACCTGGTTTTCTCTGCAGGCGCACTATTCCACCGGGAAGGTCAGCGCCTCCTTTACCTCCACTGCCATGGTTCCGGAGACCACACATGAAGCAGGTAGCTGCCCTTGCCTGTCCGTCCCCAGCAGGCTGCCTCACAGCGGCCAAGGGTGGGCATCCTGCCCCTGCACCCTGTGACGTGCCATCATGCCTGGCCTTCGTGGGTGCTTAGGCAGCTCTGGTGTGGTTAGGTTCTGGTGTGGTTAGGCAGTGACAGGCCTTTTCTACAAGTGGGGGGGGGGCGCAGAGGCTGCAGTGGAGGCCCAGTTGGGGGGTAGGAGGTCCTCCCTCCACCCACCGGGGTTGTCCTGTCTTGAGCCTACGTCCCACCTTGGCACTGGCCCCACACCTCTTCCTCTCGTGTTTTCGGCCTATCTGGCTCCCACTGTCCCCTTCCTTCCCAATGACATCCCATTCCAGGCTTTTCCAGGCTCTCCCACCTTAACTGCCGAGCCCCGCCATATCCCCCCGGCCCCGAGACTCACCCAGTCCTGTGGCTGGGGTGCCGTGAGCCCGTGCTTGGCCAGGGCCAATCCTTGGGCTCCCCCCAGACCTGGTGTGGGTAGGGGTTGTTGCCCCAGCTGGAGGGCAGCACGGACCCAAGGCCTCGGTTTGCAGCCGCCATTGATGAGGATGTGCTGCGCTACCAGTTTGTGAAGAAGAAGGGCTACGTGCGCCTGCACACCAACAAGGGCGACCTCAATCTGGAGCTGCACTGCGACATGGTGCGTGTGGCTGTCCCCGCCAGGGTCCGCATGCCTGCCCAGCTTTTCAGTCCGTAGTCACGCCTGTATGCGCTTGTGGGAGAACAAATGTTCCACCTGCCCCCTTGAAGGCCCAGTGCCCGCACTCCCCTCCCCAGAAGGGACCCTGGGAGCCGCGCATGGTGCTTCCTGGGCCCGTGTTTTGGCTGGGGCATGCGTACTCATCCCACAAAAGGGGTCAGGTTCCACGCGTGCACATCCCCCCTGCCCCCCCACTTGCTCAGGTGTCTCTTGGTGGCCCTCACTCAGGGTCATGGCAGGTGCATGTGTCCTGTCATTCAGCCTCACGGTGCTGCTTTACCGGGTCTGGCCTGGGCAGCTGACCGGCCCCCCTGCCTGATACGGGCCCTGGGTGGTGCTTGCGATCCTCCCACGGGCTGCTGCTCACCTCACGGAGGCATCTGGGCTATTGTGTAGACGCCGAAGACCTGTGAAAACTTTATCAAGCTCTGCAAGAAGCAGTACTATGACGGCACCATCTTCCACAGGTCCATCCGGAACTTTGTGGTGAGTGGCGGGGGTCCGCGCTGGCCGCAGACCTGCGCCCCCGTGAGGGCCGTAGGGCTCCTGGCCAGGGCAAGGGCTACGGGGACTGCTGAGAGTCGTACCTGTGAGCCCCTTCTCCCCGGGCGGGGAGTGTGCAGACTGACCCCTGTGAGTCCCCAGCCCGGCTATGCTGGGCTCGTGCAGAGAGCTGGCCCGGGAAGGCTGTGTCCTCATCAGGCGCTCAGTCGCCCTCAGGCCTGCCGGGCAGGTGGGGAGCGAGCGGAGGGCCGGGTGGGGCTTCGGGCTCCTGGGGCAGAGCTTGCTGACTGGCCTTGCTTCCTCTCACAGATCCAGGGGGGTGACCCCACCGGCACAGGCACAGGTTGGTACCGGTGCGCGGGCTTCCCCGGCTGCTCTGTAGGCCTTATGGTGGGGTGGGGAGGGTAGTTGGGTGGGGGCTGTGCTACCAAGAGTTCCAGATGTGGAATCTGATAGGACAGCCACTAGCCAGCCTGAGGGGCGACCTTAGTCGCATCCCTCGTTTTTTTTTTTTTTGAGATGGTTGCACGGCCTGGATGGGCTGGAGAGGCCATGCGGTGCCTCCTGGCTGCTCTGGAGCCCCCTCTGGGTCCATAGGCTCCAAGGGCCCAGGCAGTGTCCTCACCCGGTGTGGTGTGAGTGGGCATGACCTGTGCTCTCACCCTGTCCTCCTTGTCCTAGGGGTCCAGCCCCATGCAGGAATCTGAGGGGCCTGGGGGCTGGAGGTGGGGGGGGGCTCCGTGGGGAGATGGTGATGAGGTTCCCTCAGAGCAGGGCTTCCCCCTGGAGTACTCAGCAGGGCCCCTCGGGACTCAGCGCACATCTGTGGAGCTGGGCTTCATCCACTGGCCACATTTGGCCGGAACCCAGGCATTGCTGCTGCTAGCCTTGCCGCTTCCTCCTGCAGGTGGGGAGTCGTACTGGGGAAAGCCCTTCAAAGACGAGTTCCGGCCCAACCTCTCGCACACGGGCCGGGGCATCCTCAGCATGGCCAACTCAGGTCCCAACGCCAACAAGTCTCAGTTGTGAGTCAGTGGGCACCTGTGGGTGGGTCCTCCCTCTCAGCTTTGCCCTCCAGGGCGTGCTCCACCCGAATCCTGCCCAGAAAGTGGGCAGCGCCCTGGGGGAGAGGACCCCCATCCCCCCAACCCCATCCCCGTGTGTGTGCATGCACCCACGAAGGAATAAGCCTGGGTGGTTGCTCAGAGGCCCAGGGAGGCTGTGGGAGGCAGCAGATGCTGGCTCCGGCCACAGAGAGGGGGTGGCCCAGGACATGGAGTGCTGGAAGTCCGGGCCTGGGTGGCCCTGTGTCCTGATGGACAGGCAGGAGGTGAGGGCCCCACAGGAGTGAGTGTGGGGAGGGGAGCGGCCAGACCCAGCCTGGGAGGGGCAGGAGTGGAGGCAGGACAGTTTTCCAGAGGAGCCTCATGCCACGGAGCGGGCAGGACAGGGGAGATCTGTCTGTGCAACATGGGGCCCGGTGACAGGTGATGGTGGCATCAGCGGTGGGGGGGAGGGCCCTTCCTGCACATTTGATGGGATTCCCCTGCAGCACTGTCCCGTTGGGTGGAATGGGGGTGCCCAGCCAACCAGAGTTCTCTTGATCTGTCTGTCCTTCGCTCTCTGGGAGCTGTAGTTCACCTGAGTTCCATTATTTCTGATTTTAAAAACTTCTTTGATTTCTGCTTGTTCTTTGTCAACTCTTTGCTCTTTGCTCACTTTTTTTGAGGAGGTTTGTATTTTTCTTCAGAGCTTTTTAGATTAGGCATCTGTTTTCCAGATACTTTTTCCAGGTATTCCCAGTTGGAAGAATCATCCATAGTATTTTAAAATATACAGTATATATTCTGAGCCACCCAGGTGCCCCTTATTTGGTATTTTTTTTTTTTTTAAAGATTTTATTTATTTATTTGACAGACAGAGATCACAAGTAGGCAGAGAGGCAGGCAGAGAGAGAGGAAGGGAAGCAGGCTCCCTGTTGAGCAGAGAGCCCGATGCGGGACTCGATCCCAGGACCCTGAGATCATGACCTGAGCCGAAGGCAGCGGCTTAACCCACTGAGCCACCCAGGCGCCCTTATTTGGTATTTTAAAATCAAAATTCTTTTCCAGTTCAGTTGCTCATATAAAATCTATTTTTGGGGGCACCTGGGTGGCTCAGTAGGTTAAGCATCTGTGTTAGCACAGGTCATGATCCAGGGTCCTGGGATAGAGTTCTGTGTCAGGCTGCCTACTCAGCGGGGAGCCTGCTTCTCCCTCTCCCTGCCTCTCCCTTGCGTGTGTGCCCACACACACTCTCTCAAACAGATAAAATTTTTTTATTTTATTTTTTTAAAAAATATTTTATTTATTTATTTGACAGAGATCACAAGTAGGCAGAGAGACAGGCAGAGAGAGAGGGGGAAGCAGGCTCCCTGCCGAGCAGAGAGCCCGATGTGGGGCTCCATCCCAGGACCCTGGGATCATGACCTGAGCCAAAGGCAGAGGCTTTAACCCGCTGAGCCACCCAGGTGCCCCCAGATAAAATCTTTTTTTAAAAAAAGTTGATTTTATATCTAACTACTTTATTTGAATAGTTTATTAAGAGTGTCCTGGGTTAGGGCACCTGGGTGGCTCAGTCAGTTAAGTGCCTGCCTTTGCCTCAGGTCATGATCCTAGGGTCCTGGGGTCAAATCCCACATAGGGCTCCCTGCTCATCGGGGAACCTGCTTCTCCTGCCTGTTTCTGTCCCTGCTTGTGTGCACTCGCTCATTCTCTCTCTCTGACAAATAAATAAAACATATATAAAAAAAAAAAGCGTCCTGGGTTTCCTAGATATTCAGCATTCATCAGCTCAAGGTGTTGTTGCTCTTCCGGGGAGAACACTAGTTCCCTCACGGTTGGGCCTGTAAGGACAGCACGTGGGCATCCCGCTCTCAGGTTCCATGCTGTTTTGCCATCTGATCAAATTTGTTGCCGGCCCGACTCTTTGGGAGAGGCTGTGTTTCCAGAGGCTTTTCTCTTAGCATCTGTTACTACGATCAGACCATTTCCTTTTTCTTCTGGAATCTGTGGACAGAAGCGCTGGGTTGACCAGCTTGGCTTATCACTGTTTTGTCCTGGAGGGCAGCTGGGCTGGTCGGGCCTGAGGCCCAGCGTGAACCGCCTGGGGTGGTTTAGCTCACGTCCGGTCTGCTTGGTGAGGTAACATGCCAGGGACAGCTTTTGCGGATCCTTCAGGCTGACTCCTCAGTTTGGGTTCCACTTTGAGGGCCATCTGGGTCGCTGCTATTGTGCCAGAATGGAACTGATTTGTCTCCAGATTTCCAGACTTCTGCGGCATCTCCCTGTCCGTCACTGTGTCAGCATTCCCGCTCTCCTTAATGGTTTACAGAAGGCTTTCCTGTTTTTATTTTATGCGATTTTCTTCTGTTTCCATCTTCGCTGGCTTCCTCCTGTTTCTCTCCTCTCCCAAGCCACCATCTTGCTCGCCGCCGCTGCAGACGTCCGAGGCTGTGCATGCTGACGGCTCGTGCTTCCACTTCACGGTCTTCTCAGGTTATAGAACGAATTGTAGACTTGACTTCCTTTCTGGTATATCTTTGTTTGCCCTGTCATTGCTTTTCTTTCCTCCTTTTTCCTTCAGGACTATTTCATTCCCTTACAAGCTTCCTGACCTGTCTTAGCAATGCATGGCCAAGACCCACTTGATGGTCAGAGCTCAGGTCTGCACAGTTGTGGGTGTTGATGTCTGTGGAGACTTGCCTGCTGGCCGAGTCTGGTCAGGCCTGGTCGGCTCTGAAGGGGTGTTGACCCTGGTGGAATGGGCTTCGGCTTCTGTCCCTTGCTTGACTGTGCGTGCCATGGGCTGTCGGGGATGTGGGTAACATGGTGTCCCAGGAGGGCTCTCTGGCCTAAAACTGCTCCTCCAGAGACCCCGCCCCAGAAGGCTTCTCTCTCCATCTCTTCTTGGGCCTCTTCTTCCATGCTTTTACCTGGAGCGTTCCAGATTCTTGAGGTCTTAGGGGTGTCTTTTTAATGGCACACACCTAGATTTGGGGTTATTTTAATTCAAACTGACAGTCGTAGGTGTATACTTAACTTTCCAGTCAGTATCTGTATTTTCTATTATCTTAATTTGTACTTCCTGGTTTACCCCCCCCCCTTTTTTTTTAAGATTTTATTTATTTGACAGAGACAGAGACAGCGAGAGAGGGAACACAAGCAGGGGCAGAGAGAGAGGGAGAAGCAGGCTTCCTGCTGAGCAGGGAGCCGGATGTGGGGCTTGATCCCATGACCTTTGGATCATGACCTGAGCCAAAGGCAGATGCTTAACTGACTGAGCGAGCCACCCAGGCACGCGTGGTTTCCCCCTTTTTTTAAAAATATTTTTCATTTCTTCCTTTTCTCTTTCACCTGATTTGGAAGTTATGTGTCACTTTTGGCTTTAAGTAGATTTATTTAAAGTCTGTAGTTACCACTTAATCTCTCTTCCTCCCTCGCAGACAAACCCTGCCTGTGCCATCCCCTCAGCCCAGCCAGCTCACATGTTCGTATAGTTGGATATTTAAATTTCACTCATTTTTACACCAAATTAGATTTGAAAATTTACTAGGTCAGCATTTATGGGTGTTTACCCACATTCCTCAGGGTCTCTACTCCCTTTTTTGTCCGTCTCCTCTCTTCCAGTTCAGAGTCCCTTCATCTTCACGTGCTGTCACAGTGGGATGGTCTCTGGTGTCCAGTCTCCCTTTCCACCCCCCTCGGACCCCTCCCAGCAGCCTCTGCCTGCAGGTTCTGGCAGTGTCTGTCTGCCAGAAGTTGGCTGCAGCCCGATCTGGCCTTTCCCAGGCCTTCTCCTGGGGAACCGGGATTCTGGTCCCCTCAGTGGCCTTGGCTGATGGCCTCCCCCAACCAGGCACATGTGGGGTCCATGCATACAAGTGAAGCACCAGCTTCCCAGAGCTGCTTTTGGGGTATAGGGATGCCTAGTGGGTGCCCAGAAGCCTTGGGGGCCAAGCAGGCTGGGTGGGGAAGCTCACAGGCTCTTCCTAATTTCCCCTCCTCCTCACCCAGCTTTATCACCTTTCGATCCTGTGCGTACCTGGACAAGAAGCACACCATCTTCGGGCGGTAAGAGGATGGGGGTGCTGATGTGGGTGGGCTCCTTTCTCAGTGGGACCCTCTCACTGCCTTTCCCCATGCCCGGCCCAGTGCTCATTTGGTCTCACGACCATCACTGCTGAGGTCACGGCCACGCAGAAGTGGGGACTCGGGCCTTTTCTGTTAGCCAAGGGATGGCTGGCTCTGCGGACCTGCCGGCTGAGGGGAGGGCCACTCTGGCCCCTTCTGGCCAGCTGCCCTATCCAGACTTGCCCCCGACTTGGTTCCCCTCCCCAGGTCATGCCCCCATCCATGCAGCCCTTCTCAGGCCCATCTTCTGCCCCTCTTCTTGCCATGCTTTTGGGGGTATCCTGCCCTGGAGCACATTCAGAGGTACCCCTGTTCCTTGGCTGCAGGGTTGTTGGGGGCTTTGACACGCTGACAGCCATGGAGAACGTGGAGAGTGACCCCAAAACCGACCGCCCTAAGGTACGTGCCAAGGGAGACTGGGGGAACTGCTGCTCAGGATGGGCACGGGGCAGGCGGGTTTGGAGGGGCCTGCAGCCTCCCACCGCCCGCTCACTTGTCTCCCTCTGCTGCTAGGAGGAGATCCGCATCGACTCCACCACCGTGTTTGTGGACCCCTACGAGGAGGCCGATGCTCAGGTGAGGAGGCCGCCAGGCCGGTGGGGGGCTGCAGGAACCCCACCCAGCCTGCGGGGCTCCGAGCCAGCTGTTGCCCTGCTCCATCCCAGATTGCTGAGGAACGGAAGAAGACGCAGCTCGAGGAGGCGGCCCCAGAAAGTGCTATAAAAACTCAACAGCCCAAGGCGGGGAGCCAAGGCCCCCAGACGTACCGCCAGGGGGTGGGCAAGTACATCAACCCAGCAGCCACGTGAGTGCAGTGAGGGTGCTCGTCCCGTTTGCGGGGTGCTCTCCTAGCTTCCCAGTGCCCACGGTTAGAGCCCATCCGTGGCGAGAGAACCGGACACTGGCAGGGAGCAGGTGCCGTGGGGGGCCGCTGTGCAGGCTGGAGCTCAAGGACTCGGGGTTGGGCGGGGGGGGGGGGATATGTGACTGTGCGACCTCACACTGAGCAGGCGCTGTGGGTGTGCGTGGGCTCCCAGCGCAGGGGACTCGTCTACACCCAGCAGCTCAAGCACTTCTCCTCTTCCCAGGAAACGGGCAGCAGAGGAAGAGCCCTCAACCAGCACAGCTGTCCCTGCAGCCAAGAAAAAGCCCAGCCGAGGCTTTGGGGACTTCAGCTCCTGGTAGGAGCAGGTCTGCCCCTCTGGAGCCCTAGAGGGCCTCAGGGCTTGGGGGCCTGTATCCACACCACAGAGTTCTCTGCCTTTCTGACTACAGCTCACTAAAGCTCCTGCTTGTTGCAGGAGTCCCCTTTCTTGGCCCTGGGAGTCCACGGGCCTTCCCCGCCTTCACTCGGTTCAGTGGCCCGACCCTCTTCCCAGGCCGGGGCCAAGCCCGAATGAGATCTCAGACCACCAGGTGTGGGCTGTGGCCCTTAGGCCCACCTGCCGGGTGGGCCTGGGTGGGGGAGGAAGGCAGAGACTCTGCCTCTGCCTTCCTCCCCAGCCCCATTTTTGTCATCTCCCTTGGGTACTGTTTGCTCAGCGTTAGCACCTGGGACCGAGTTAGAAACACAGGCTTGCAGAGCCCGACCTCCTCGCCGGAGGCCACGGGGAGGACAGTCCCTGGTACTGCCACAGACTGGGGAGCTCCTGTTGCCTGTGGCTTGAGGACCCTTGACCAGAGCCTTGACCCGAGTTCCTAAAATCTCTCCTGCTGCCTTTTGCCTGGACTCGCTGAGGCCTGCCCACACCCCCGGCCCCCACAAGGACTCTGGGCGGTCATAGCCATGTTCCCCCATGGGCCTGCTCTGGCCCTGCTGCCTCAGGATGGGAAGAAGAGCCCATGGGAGCAGCTGCCCCACCCCCCCCACCCCCGCCCATAGGGCCTGACTTCGGGCTCAAACATTTGATCCTTCACCCCAGCATTAGGGCTTTCAGACCAGCCTCACCAGTGTTTCTGGATTTTAAAATCCCTTTCCTTTATTTTTCTATAAATGTCAAAAAAACCTTAACATTTGCTGGTCTGCCCTTTGTTTTCTGTTTCTTCTGTAGCCTGTGCCCATGTGGCTTCCCTGCTCCTGACCTTGACAACACTACCTCAGCTTTCCCAGAGTGCCTCTGCACAAGCGTGGGACAGCTGTACACCCCCTCACCACCCACTCCTGAGGCCTGTCGTCCTCATGTTGGCATGGGCCGCGACCCCCTCCAGCTTGTCACATTGCAAACCTCACTTACGCTCTGTCCTTGGTGGTTCTTTCCCTCACCCAAACCTCAGGTCCATCAGTGTCAATAGCAGCTTCCGAATGTACCTGGGAGTTCCCCCCGCTTTTTTTTTTTTTTTTTTTTAAGATTATTTGACAGAGATCACAAGAAGGCAGAGCAGCAGAGAGAGAGGGGAATGCAGGCTCCCTGCTGAGCAGAGAGCCTGATGTGGGGCTCGATCCCAGGACCCTGATACCATGACCTGAGCTGAAGACCGAGGCTTAACCCACTGAGCCACCCAGGCACCCCAGGGCTCCCCTCTTTCCACCTCTGATACTGAACCCCAGACCCAAGCCTGCTCTCTAGCCTGCCTCTGTTTAAGCCCCTTGCACACATCCTCCAGGTGCCATCTGGGCCCCCCTTCCCAGAGCTTGTCTGGCCATTGTCCTCGTTTCACACCAGTCACTGGCTGTCCTGTGTGTGGAGAACAAGGTCTGTGCTCCCCACGAACCCTGTCCCTCCGCAGTCTTCTGCCTGTGACTGTAACCAGGGACTGGAGTTCTAGAGAGCACCCGCTCAGCCCTCTGTACCTGGGGCCAGGCCCTTGTCACCCTTCTCCCTGACCTCCCCACCATCCCTCCCAGCTACACCAAAACATCAGGGAGCTGGTGTTTGTGCCCAGAATGCCTCCAGGAACCTGGTCCACCCAGGAGGGCTGCGTCAGGGACAGCCGTGTGAACACACTCGCAGACCTCTGAATAGCTCTTGGTGACTCAGGGTGCGGGTGGGTGGGTGCAGAGGCGGCCCTGGAGAGGGAAGGTTCCAGAGGGCGCCCGGGTTCCTCAGCCTTCTGAGTTTGGGGGCAGGGGGAGCTCAGGTGAAGCTTTCTTGGGCTGCATGTACCCACTCCAGACTTGGCTGGTGGGGAGCCTGGTGGCACCCTGCTCTAGGACATGGCAGGCTGCATGCCACCACACAGGACCGGAGCAGCCACAGGAGGAGCTTGGAGATGCAAAGCTCCCAGTGGGAACCCAGGGCCCTTCAGCATTGGGGCAGGGCGCCTGAGACAGGAGGTGCTACCGGAAAGGACACATCTGACAGTGGAAGCTTTATTTTTCAACCTCACACAGACACAGAGGACAGAGGGCTGGACACAGAGGCTGAAGGAGGCTTGTGCATGTGAGCTTGGCAGTCCTGCTCCAAGGGGCAAACCTTCCGGCTCTTGTCCATCTGTACGTCCTTCCAGCTGCACCCAGTGACCACACCCACCTGGCCCAAAGCATGGCCAGCCCACCCTAGGCTGCAGACCCACCCAAGAGCCTTTGACAAAGAAGGGTTTACATTTCTGTAGGTCGTTTTGGAACTTTTAAATTAGTTTTCTAAATATTAAAACGGCTTGGGATTTTTTAAGTACCTGGTGAGGTCCTCAGGTAAATTAAAAGGGCTTTTGGAAAAATTCCCATGTCTGAGCTCGCCTAATATCTGACAGATGCCATCAAGAATAAGCATTAAGGTACAAAAATACTATATATATGTATATATATAAAACAGCAACGAAATGAAACCACACTGGGAAAGCAGACGCGCCATGCCAGAGAATGCAACATGGTTGAAGTTCAACGCATTTCTGGTCCTGGCATCATCTCCCATTCTTTAAGGAAACAAATACTTTAAATAATTTAAATAAAAGTCGCAGGATGATATTTAGTGTCTCGGAATTTAAGAGGGTGGAACATTCCCACACTTCGCCACCACGTCTGGTTGTGTGTGGTCTCCTGAATGTCCTTCCCCTGAAGCCAGCTCACGGTCTGTTCATTTGGTTTTGAAAGGAGCTTGGATTTTTCAGAAGACCAACAAATAAAAGTGGTAAAGAGTTTTTCGTTGGTATCAATTACCAAAAAAAAAAAAAAAAAAAAAGCCTAAGACCACTAGTAAAAATGTTTCAATGCCATCACAAGACAATACAAAAACCAAAGTGCTCAAATCCAAGGAGCAGTAAACTTGCCCAGAACATATAAAAGCTTTAAATATAGGTTTAGTATATACAAAACTCGGTCAGAGGAATTTGAGAAGATTCTTCAGTTTAAACGAAGAGCTTGTGGGGAAACGCTCAGGAGCCTGGCCCTCGGTGCCCCAAGGACGCCCCCACCCCAGCCCTCATCCTCTCGCGGCCTCGGGTGCAGCATGGAGGCTTGCAGAGGAACCAAGGCAAGGAGAGAAATGTCAGTTTAGGCGAAGTTTTCAATGAGGAGCACTCACTCCTCAAAGGGCCTTGCCGTCCCTTCAAAGTGGCCACTGAGGACCGAAGCCGCAGATGTCCGCGCTGCCTGTGCCAGCTCGAGGGTGAAGCGTCTTCGGGTTTCGGAGCCTGGCAGCGAGTGCGCACGCGTGCGGGCCTGGGCCCCGGGGCGCCTGAAGGCTGTACAGCTGAAGGTGAACTTATACACATGGGGACTGTGCTGGGACAACCTAAACCTGCGGGGGACGCCAGCTCGGGGAAGCAGCAGCCTGCTGGAGTACCTGCGCGCGCAGAGGCCCACACAGCTGTACAAAGACCTGCCCTTGACGCTGGGATATGCGCGGACATTAACCCGGGCGCCCGTCCCCTCACCCAGAGTGGGGCGCTTCATCTCCCCACGTTCTAAGGCTTCGCTCTTAGCCAGAGAGACGGTTCCAAAAGGGAAGCTCTGGGGGAGCAGCTATGCCAGAACCAGTCAGGGGAGCCCAGTGCCTGGCTATGGGCTCTGGGCTCTGGGGAGGGCAGGGACCTCCCATAGGACTGGAAAGCCGTTCTCTCGCCCTTCCTGGCCAGCTCACACTCGCCCCTGGGCTGACCTTTGCTGCAGTGGTTTCAGAGCCACTGGCCGGGCTGAGAAACGTCTGGGTTCGCTGCCCTTCTCCCTGCCTCGCTGGGCCCTTTTCCTGCCCCTCGGCAGTGGGGTCTCAGGAGTTTCATGCCATGCTACACCCAAGGCCCCGCCAGACTCCTGGAGCAGCAGGCCGGGCCAGGCAGCTGGAGTCAGGTAAGAAACTTGAAAACCAAAACCGATTTGGGAATGGTTTTTGGCCTTCATTCTCTGAAAACTGGCCAGTACCCTGCATAGTGCCGTCTCCCTGAAGAGGCACTGGTGGATCGGAACTTAAAATACATTGCTGAGACACAAGGCATAGACGACCATCCAGGTCCCTTCTGTGTCAGCTCAAGGGGCAGAACCAGTGGGGCACGGGAGACCCATATTCATTTATGAAGTTTAAATCTGTTTTGAAACTTTAACCTTTCCTAAAAAAATTTTAAAATGATCTCCCAAATCTCAAGTTTGGAAGTTCATCCTGCTAGTTCTGGCCTCTTCCATATGCAAAAGTATTTCTTTTTCTTCAGGTACATCAGAACAGAAAGGAAATCCGATCTGATTCCGTCCAGTGAGTTCACCCCTCACTGCGTGCGGACCACTCTGTCAGCGACTGACACAGAAGCTCCACTTCCAGAGCCCTGCCGGACTGCGGCCTCCGCACATGCGTGCCTGCAGCCCCTTGGAACAGCCTTTGCTAATGCTTGCTTTCTAGATAAAGAAGCGTTGGCTTAAATAAACAAGATGTTCCATTAGACAGATTTCTCTATTTATAGCTTGTCTAAAATGTAATCAGTGGTATCTTCTAGTTCTGAACAAGCCTTCAAAAAAAAAAAAAAAGGCCCCTTGGTGTACAGATTTGTTGACTGTTTCTGGAAGATTCCTAAATGAGCACTATGCCTTAACAGCTCATCTGCAAGAGGAATAACTCATCTGTAGTTTCAGGAATTAGGAGAAAAAGTGGCCTACAGTATCCTTACTCAAAAAGAGCGGCGTGAACTTGCTCTCTGAAAAGCGCCCTAACCCTGTGGTCCGCAGAAATTTTTGTTTTTGTTTTTGTTTTTGTTTTTTATCAAACATGAAAGAGCAAAGCCAAACTCTATCGTAAAGGCATAGCTTAAAAGAAGGTATTAACTAGACAGGTAAGTCATCAATTGGTTAATTCTGTCTCTAGAACTTGAGAAGTTGGGAAAAAGGTCACTGAAACATTTCAGAAATAGCCATGTACGTGAACAGGACAGAGGCTGGAGGGACACCTTACCACCGGAACAGCCGGGAAAGGCCCGCCAGCCGCAAGGTTCAAGTTCAAGAAATACGGCCATCCAGGGTGCTCCTATGTCTCCGTTACACTTACAGTCTCTTCCACAAACTAGTATTCAGAAGAGAACGAAGTTTTCACTTTACTCCCAACCATTGTCTTTGATCATGTGGGCAAGCTCAATAATAAATTTTCCTTCCTTATATTTCTGACTGCTTTCAAAGGCATGTTCCTTGAAAAAAAAAAAAAAAAAAAAGAAAAGTAGAAAGAAGGTTTCAGGACAGAATAGACTTCACTTTTCAACTTCATTACACTCTTGGCAAAGAAAATAAGCATATGGGGTCAAATCTCCTCAGGTGTCCCTTGTTCCGCAGACCAGGGCCAGGGGAGGGGTCTGTCTCGGTGACGAGCCTGGGCAGGGAAGGGCAGCCCACCTCTACTTGTCCTTAACCTTACAGATCCATTTCACAGGGAAAGGGTAATTCAAGTTTGTCCCTGAGCATCTACCATGCGTAAGACAATCCGGGAGGGAGGAAGGGGAGCGAGATCCTGCTTGCAGGGACTGTAGGTAAAAGGCCAGTGGAGGCCACTATAGCCAGCACCGGGGGGGTCATTTAAGATGCTGGAGTGAGAGAGAAGGCCCTTGGCTGGGCAGTGAAGGTAGAAACGAAATGGGGCTTGGCAGGGTGTATATGTGTGCACATGTAGGCCTCTCGGAGCCCATCTCCACACCGGGGACTGCGTCTCCTCATGTGTGTCGAGGAATGTGGAGGACAGGAAGTCAGGAATTCCAGAAAGAGGAAGCACAGGCAGCCCTGACCAAGATGGCCAGAATGGCTGTAGCGGACAACAGACAGGCACTAGCCACACCCAGACGCACCTCTCAGGTGCCACGGCTGGCGGTGGTCAGGGGCACAGGAGACAGACTTGGGAGTCAACAGGAGGGGTGGGGAACAACGGGATCAGGGAGTGTGGTGGGGGGGGAGGGCGGGCAGAAGCTGCCTATGGGCCAAGCCCCAGGTGGGTCAGTGAGACATGGGTGGGCCGTTCCCCTCCTGCCAGAGGACCCTCGGAGGGCAGGGCCACATGCCCGCCAACCAGCATGGCTGTTACCCACGTCCCACCTCCGGGAGTCAGGGGAGCGCGGGTACAACCATGTGAGGACCTCCACGTTCAATCGGCTAGAAAGACATGCTACAACGAGAACACAGGACACTTCAGGCAGGAGGTCTTACTCCTTTGCAAATTTTGCTCCTGACTGTAACGCGTGTTTCGGTACCGCGGTGAGTCGGTGCGGGCTCCGCGGGCCCGGAGTGCACGGGTACTCACATATTTCCACCCGAGCGTGGTTTTGCAGTTTTCACAGTAGATGTCTGCGACAGCGTGCAGCCCAGTGAGAAGGACCCTCTCCTCCGCCGGGCCACAGCCCACGTTGACCCTGCAGGGGAGCAGGCGGGACCGTGCTGAAGACCAGAGGCCCCGCCCCTGCCCACCACCGCCCTTGGGGGAAGGATCAACTTATTTCTCCAGAATCCCAAGATGGGACGGCTGCGGGGGCCGTGACCACCGTCCTGCACAGAGCACCGTCAAAAATCAAACCCACCACAAATGGGTCACAAACCATGCCTCATGTGGGAGCTGGGTCTCAGGTAAGAGCACACCCTTCCGGCAAACTCTCACACTAAAGAGAGCAGAATTCCTTAAACTATCAAAACACTGGGTCATTCTAGGGGCACCTGGGTGGCTCAGTCATGATTCCCGGTTCCTGAGCCTGCTTTTCCCTCCCGCTCTGCCCCTGCCCTCCCCCCCAGGCTCATGCTCTCTCAAATAAATAAGATCTTAAAAACCAAAAACAAAACCACTGGATCATTCTAGCTCATCAAGGAACTCTGCACAGTCCAGCTTTGAGTAATCACGTGCATGGATGGACAGGAGCACTGAATGTAATCGGATCATGGACACAGCCATGTCCACAAGGCCAATGGCAGTAGTACTCACACAGAATTGAAGAGGTAGGCTCGTCCCTGACTTCCCTGAAAAGACTGCAAAGAAGAAAAAAATTTTAACAGATGTACTGTGGTAAGAGGAAAAGTCTGGCATTTAGGGATGAAGGTGGAGAGACTGTTTCAGGTCATGGACTTCAACGTGGGTGGAATGGCCACCTTGTGGAGCATTTCGAGCAGCGCTCAGGAGGAGCGCTGACCACAGGCCTCCAGGACCCTGGACCCCACACTGGACCCAGAAGTCAAAGTGCTCCTAGAGCCCCAGAGGGGCCGCTCAGTGTCCCGATTCTCTCTGCTGGACTAGCTCCCATCAGTCAGACAGTAGGGGCGAGGGGACATTCCCATGCTTTGCCACTGAAACTGAAAGCAAAACCATATCCCAAGATGACTCCTTCCTTGGAGGAAGGGACCTTCTGGTGACATCTCCCCCAGGAAAGTGCTTTAAGCCAATGAACAGCTTGTAGCATACCCATGGAGTCTGGGATGATAATGGAGGAAGGATGGGGTACAGTCGGGTCAGTTCCAGACTTAGCGCCCGCACCCTGCACTCTCAGCAACAAGAGGGAATATGAGTTCCCTCGTAGACAGATGGGGGGCTCATCTGCTTTGGTGCCAGGTCCAAATGACCGAGCGGAACACAGGGACCTCAAAAATAACCAAATGGGGGCACCTGGGTGGCTCAGTGGGTTAAAACCTCTGCCTTCAGCTCAGGTCATGATCCCAGGGTCCTGGGATCGAGCCCCGCATCGGGCTCTCTGCTCAGCAGGAAGCCTGCTTACCCCTTTCTCTCTCTGCCTGCCTCTCTGCCTATGTGATCTCTGTCTGTCAAATAAATAAATAAAATCCTTTAAAAAAAATAATAACCAAATGAAGAGAACTTCTTTGAGTGTTTTTTTAGTTTGTTTTTGTTTTGGGGTTTGTTTGTTTTTTTTTTGCCTACCACCTCAGCACAAATTCAAAAGACTATGAGGAATGTTGAATGGAGCAGAGGGTGACAGTATCTGTAAATGTAAGAGGCACATGCTATGTGACCAGCCACTCCACTCCTAAGGATTCACTGTCAAGACAAACCAACTGGAGCACATAGGGAAACATGTGACAAGATTGGTTACTGGTAAGTATTTGCAATTGCAAAAGCATGGGACACGTGGATACCCACACAAGTGAGCAAACGAGGGCACTCACATCCAGGACACACGCAGACATTAAGAAGGGGACGGAAGCAGCTGGGCATGAGCATGTGTGGTGAGAGTCACACTGGGAAGTGAAGGAGAGCTAGCCATGACACGCTGTGCCGTGCTGTGTTGTGGGGGCCCTTCAATTAAGGGGAAAACCACAGGGCACCAGAGTGGCTCAGTCAATCAAGTGTCTGCCTTCGGCTCAGGTCACAATCCAGAGGTCCTGGGATCAAGTCGCACATCGGGCTCCCCGCTTGGTGGGAAGCCTGCTTCTCTCTCTCCCTCTGCCCCTTCCCCTACTTGTGCTCTCCCTCTCTCTCACACTCTTGAAAAAATAAAATCTTAAAAGATAAAGGGAAAACCATGATCTTATAGGCCAGAAAGAGACCACATATGCCACACAACTAACAGAGACAAGCAGAAGGAATGGAGTCAGGGGTGAGGAGGGGAAAGCAGGTCGTCCCTGCCTCCCGTGCACACGACACCGCACTGTGCTGGTTTGCGCAGTCCCTTGCATGGGCACAGACGGCAGCAGCCCCTGCTGACCGGGGACACACATCCACTGGAGCAATACAGAGACCCTCATGCTAAGCCACTAAGCCCCTGTGGTTTGGGGGCTCTTTGTTACTGCCGCATACCCTGGCCTGAGGCTAGTGGTGTTTTGATCTAAACATACAGCTTTCAGACTTAAAAAGAAAAAGAAAAACGCTTCTTAAGAGTTTTCCTTTCCAGTGGCTTTCCAAAATTAAGAATATTACTTTATGTCCAGTTTAACAAATAATCATGTTATGGGCTTCCCCTTATATCCTTATTAGCCTTCAATTCTGTAGACCGATTTTCCTAATTCTCTTGCCTGCTCTTCAAATTCTCCCCCCGCGCCCCTATAAATCCTTATTTAAAAAAAAATTTTTTTAAAGATTATTTATTTATTTATTTGACAGAGATCACTAGTAGGCAGAGAGGCAGGCAGAGAAAGAGCAGGAGGGAGGCTCCCCACTGAGCAGAGAGCCTGATGCGGGGCTCGATCCCAGGACCCTGGGATCATGACCTGAGCTGAAGGCAGATGCTTAACCCTCTGACCCACCAAGGCGCCCCACAAATCCTTATTTTTTAAACAGGGTTTAGATCCATGATGTGGCCAGATTTGTGGTTGGGGGTGAGACAGAAGTCAGACTAGAGCAGGAGGTCTGCAAACTTCCATAAACAAGGGCCAGCTGCGAAATGTTTTCAGCTCTGGGGGCTGCACGGCCTCTGCGGTAAGGATGCTGGTGCTCTGGCCAGCCCAACAGCAGCCACCAGTGCTGTAGAAACACACAAACGTGGCTGTGGCCCAATAAAACTTCCTGGGAACAGATGGGGTGCCGGAGGTGGCCCACAGATAAAACCAGAGCCTTCTCATAACGAGACCCGCCTGCATCAAGGAACAGCTCCCTCAGGCCGGGGCATCACTGACTAATGACAAAGATGGCCCTCTTCACAGCTTCCCTCATGGGTATTTTTCTAAAAGATCCAATTTTTCCCATCCCCCCATGATACCCTGTTTTCTTCTTAAGTATTCCGAGTTAACATTTAATTTCCTCATTATTGGACTATTTCCACAGATCTTCTAAACTTCCTTTGCTCCTTCAGTGTTTCTTGGTCTTATGTGAACTCTACTGCTCTGACAAATAACCTACTCATCTTGCTTTCTGTGATTTTCTGTCCCAGCTGCCTAGCCCTCCAACACCCACCCCCTGTGCCAACACCATGCCCAATGGCACACCAAGATCACAGTCATACCGAGATAACGAGATAGCAGTCAGTCACACTCAATCACGCACAAAACATTCATCAGTGCTGCCCAGAAGGCCCTAGACTCCTAGGATGCCACCAACCCCGGAAGTCACATGATGGTCAAATGTCCATCTGGTAGGGAGGTACAATCACGGTGACCGGGAGCCCATCACTCTCTAGACACCAACCACTTGCCTTGGAGATCAGCTCATCGTGGTTGGCCAGGTGGGCTCTGCAGTGGACACAGCTGTAGGTTCGGTGACAGTTTGGCAAATAAGCTTGGAACGTTTTGGATTTTGTCATCTTCACCATCTCGGCTGGGCGCTCCTCGCTCAGCTCAGGGCTGGCACTGGACGGCCGGCGGCTCTGCTGGGCCCTCTGACAGGAAAAACAGCGGAAGATGCACGCAAGGGCCGTCGTCGTTCGGAGGGCGTGTGGCACTGTCCACACAGTTGGGACGAGAGAAAAGCGTCACAACCTGTCAACCAATCATGACAAAGCACAGGGTTATGGAGGGAACGAGAGACTTCGAGGAGGGATGCCTGGGAATTGTGCGTTCCCAGGAACAGGGTGGGGAGAGGCAGACCCAGAAGATCGAATTCTTTACTATTTGTCACGGTTTCATTCTAGATGCCATTGGAAGTGGCGAGCGAACTACTTTTACATCCAGATCATTTGAGAAAAACATCTGATTTAGTGCATTTTAGGCTGTGTGTGACTTCTGGAAACATAAAGGAAAATGCAGCCAACAAGCCTCCCGTCTGAGTGAGGCCAACAGCAGGACGGCACACATCTTGTCCCAAATCCTGGAATTAATGACTCAAAGCACCGTGACATTTATGAATTCACAGGAGGGATCCAGTTTAATTAATCGTGAAGAAGTTACATATCAATCCAGAAACAAACCCTTTATATGCTCAACTGATTTTCAACAAGGGGACCGAGATGATTCAGTGGGGAAAGGGCAGTCTTTTCAACAAACGGCACTAGGAAAACTGGATATCCACATGCAAAACAAAAACAAGGCTGGACCCTTATTTAACACCATATACAAAAAATAACTCAAACTGGATCCAAGACCTAAATGTAAGAATGAGGGTGCCTGGGTGTTCAGTCACTTGGGCATCTGCGATCGGCTCAGGTCATGATCCCAGGGTCCCAGGATCAAGGCTCCCATCAGGCTCCCTGCTCGGCAGGAAGCCTGGTTCTCCCTCTGCAGCTCCCCCGGCTTGTGTTCCTGCTCTGATTCTCTCTTTGTCAAATAAATAAAAATTTTTAAAGAATTAAAATAAACAAACACACACAAAAAAACCCCAAACTATTAAAAAAAAATCAATGTAAGAATGGAAACTATAAACAGTTAGATGAAACCATAGGGGAAAGCATTCACAACATTGATGGGGCCTGACTGCCTGCAAATGACCGTGAAGGCCCACACACGTATTTAGACTGATGGATGGTAAACTGAGAGGAAAAATGGGGCACAGCACCTGTAGAACACCAAAGAAAAAGAAATAAAAGTATTAGAAGTATCCAGAAGGGGAGGGAAAATTACCTTTCAACAGAACAATTTCCTAAGTAGAACAACAGAACCCAGAAGGCAGTCAGGAAAGGTACCTTTAAGGTCCTGAAAGACAATGATGGCTATTCCAGAATTCTACATCCAGTGAAAATATCTTTCAAGAATTCCGGAATGGTGTTTTCAGACAACTAAAAAGTTTGACTTCAGCGAAGTATCACTAGAGGAAGCGCAAGGATGTGCTTCAGACAAAAGAAAAACAGCACTAAACGTGAGAATCTAAAAAAAAAGAATGGGAATGAAGAATATGGTAAGTCCATGGGTAAACAGAACAGCAGTATCTTGTAGAGCTTTGAAGAAATAGGACTATGTGGGGCGCTTGGGTGGCTCAGTTGGTTAAGTGTCAGACTCTTGATTTCTGCTCAGGTCATGGTCTCAGGGTCCTAAGACTGAGCCTTGTCTCAGGCTCCGCGCTGGGCATGGAGTCTGCTTAAGATTCTCTCCCCCCCCCACCCCCGTTCTCCCCTAAAAATATAAAAGAAAAAGAAAATATATCACCGTAATACAGGAGCACAGTAACTCAGGGTGAGAGCTCTGATGAAAACTTTCTAGAGTCTTTGTATTATTCAAAAAAGTAGCTATAAATATTGGTTAAGCTTCAGATTCTGGGAAAGTAAGGATAAATGTTGTGATTTTGATGACATTTCTAGAACAACAAAACCTAACTGTATAATTCCAAACCTGCAAAGGGGCATATCAGTGAATGATAAAATGTCAGTCTAAAAAGATGCAAGAAAGGGGGGGCCCAGCTGAGGGAACATGTATCTCTTGATCTTGAAGTTGTGAGTTCAACAACTCACCTAGACTTAATTTACAAGAGACATACCTCCAAGTAAGGAAACATAGTGGCTAAAAGATAAGGCTAGAAACCTGGATGGTGGCAACACAGACATAACGTTTATAATTATTTGCTGGCAGTATATTTGTCTTATGTATTATATGTATGTGATTCACAATAAAGAAATTGAAGTAGTAAAAGGATTGGGCATCTGGCTGGCTCAGTCGGTAGGGCAGTGACTCGATGTTGGGGTCGTGGGTTTGAGGCCCATGTTGGGTGTAGAAATTATTATTATTATTATTTTTTAAAGATTTTATTTATTTACTTGACAGAGAGAGATCACAAGCAGGCAGAGAGGCAGGCAGAGAGAGAGGAGGAAACAGGCTCCCTGCTGAGCAGAGAGCCCGATGCGGGGCTCGATCCCAGGACCCTGAGATCATGACCCAAGCCGAAGGCAGCGGCTTAACCCACTGAGCCACCCAGGCGCCCCTGGTGTAGAAATTATTTTTAAAAAAGGTGGCTAAAGGACAGAAAAAGTATGATATGCAAATGAAAAAATATTAATACATTAGCACTTCCCTTAAATAAGTATTTAAGGGAAGACTTTTGCTAGATAGAAAAATGGATTACTTCATAATGAAAAAATAGCAGGGAGAGAAATAGCAAGTGTAAACCTTATCACTTAATAACATAGCCTCAAAATATATAAATCAAACACATAACTGCAAGGAGTAAGAAATAAATCTTCAATCAGAATAGGATTACTGGGCGTGCTTGGCTGGCTCAGTCATTGAGCATGTGACTTTTGATCTCAGGATCGTGAGTTCAAGCCCCATGCGGGGCATAAAGCTCTATTTAAAAAAAGAAAAAAAAAAAAGGGCGCCTGGGTGGCTCAGTGGGTTAAAGCCTCTGCCTTCAGCTCAGGTCATGATCCCAGGGTCCTGGAATCAAGCCCCACATAGGGCTCTCTGCTCAGCAGGGAGCCTGTTTCCTTCTCTCTCACTCTACCTGCTTCTCTGCCTACTTGTGATCTCCGTCTGTCAAATAAATAAAATCTTTAAAAAAATTCTTAAAAAAAAAAAATAGGAACACTGATTATAGTGTGTAAATATGGTATACTTATTACATATTTATATTATACTTAAAACATAGCATATATAGTATAAATACATTTCTCTTTTACTATGCCTTTCAGTGACTGATAGAACAAACACAAATGATTATGGGCAGAGAGGATATGCAAAATGTGACGAACAAATTTTACCTAAAAGACATGGAGAAAGCTGTAAGAACTGCCGAACCCACATTCATGCACAGCATGCAAACATCTACAAGTCTCAACCAACTTCCCCAAACTTAAAACACAGTATATTCTCTGAACACAATACACTTAAGTTAGAAATCAGTAAGAAAACCTAACAAGAAAAGTCTTTGGGGTCTCCTGGGTGGCTCAGTGGGTTAAAGCCTCTGCCTTCAACTCAAGTCATGATCTGAGGGTCCTGAGATCGAGCCCCGCATTGGGCTCTCTGATCAGCAGGGAGCCTGCTTCCTCCTCTCTGCCTGCCTCTCTGCGTACTTGTGATCCCTGTCAAATAATTAAATAAAATCTTAAAAAAAAAAAAAAGAAAAATCTTTGTATGCTTGGAAATGCAGAAATGTATGTCTACACAAAGAAATGGAAAGATGTTCTGTGCTCATGGATTGGAAGAACACTTAAAATTCTCATCCTACCCAAAGCAATCTAGAGATTCAACGCAACACCTGACAAAATACCAGTGGCATTTTTCATAGAACAAAGGATCCTAAAATATGTATAAAACCACAAAAGACTCCAATAGCCAAAGCAATTTAGAGAAAAAGTAACAAAGTTGGAGGTATCACAGTCCCTAATTTCAGACTATACTACAAAGCCACAGAACTCAAGGCAGTGTGGTACTCGTGCAAAGACACACACACAGATCAAAAGAATGACTAGAGAGCCCAGAACAAAACTCACACACGTACGGCCAACCCAGGACAATGGTGGTAAGAATATATGATGAGTCTCTTCACTAAACGGCCCTGGGGGCACTGGACAGCTAGGTGCAAAAGGAGGAAACTGGACCACTGTCTTACGTTGTACACAAAAATAAATCCAGAATGGATTAAAGACTTGAAAGTAAGGCTCCAAACTGTTAAACTCTCAAAGAAGCCATAGGCAGGAAGCTCTGTGACCTCATTCTTAGTGGTATGATTTTGGGACCCATCTCTCCAGACAAGGGCGACAAAAGAAAAAATAAGCAAGTGGGATTACATCAAACTAAAAAGCTTTTCCACAGCAAAGGAAGCCATCAACAAAACAAAAGACCATCTGTGTAATGGGAGAAAATATTTGCAAATCACACGTCTGAAAAGGGGTTAATATCCAAAATATACAAGGGACTTCACACAATTTAAAAACAAACATCCTGGTTAAAAATGGGCAGGGGGCCGCCTGGATGGCTCGGTTGGTAGAGTGAGCAACTCTTGATCTAGGGCTTGTGAGTCCGAGCCCCACGTTGGGTGTGCAGCCTACTTTAAAAGAAAAATGGGCAGAGGACTTTAATGGGCATTCTTCCAAAGAAGACATCCGGACGGCCACAGACACATGAAAAGATAGATGATGACTCAGCATCACTCATCATCTGGGAAATACAAAACTAGTTTTCATTTTATTGTGGTTTTTCAATAACTTATCAGCACACACCTGTCAGATTGGCTATTATCAAAGAGACAAAAAAAAAAAATAAAAGTTGGCAAGGATGGGGAGAAAAGGGAAGCGATGGAAGCAGCCAAGTGTCCACTGATAGATGAATGGATAAAGATGTGGCCATACACAGTGGAACACCACGCAGTCATCTCACCACAAAATCGTACGCGGCTCAATGTCAACGGTACTACACTAGGTGAAAGAAGTCAGAGAGGGACAAACACCATATGACCGCACTTGTATGTGGGATCTAAACAAAAAAGTGAAAGAAAATACAAAACATTAAGAGATTCACAGGGGCGCCTGAGTGGCTCAGTGGGTTAAAGCCTCTGCCTTTGGCTCAGGTCATGATCCCAGGGTCCTGAGATCGAGCCCCGCATCGGGTTCTGCTCG